AAGTCTAGGTCCTCCAGTAGAGAGGTTAGAATAAGGGTACCCTTTTTTCTGTAGTAGGGGAACCCTCCCCCAAAAAAAAGGTAAAAGCACTACTGGGGACCTAGAAGTGGCAAGGACTGCGGTTTCTTCGTTTCGCTTTTGGCTTTGATGTCTCCACCCAACCCAGCGGCATGTTGCAGCCAAAGCACAGGGCCTGCCGGCTTTGGCTTCGAACCCCGACCGACAAAATTTCAAGAGAACCGCAGGCTGGTAGAAGGGCCGTGGGGAGTGAGAACATGTTTTGTGAATCCTGTTCTTGCGGGGGTTGTTTAAAAAGGACACAAGGAACATCAACATATATTCGGTTGGGGGGGAGTCCAAAAGGTCTAAATCCCTACCCACCTGATTTACAAGGATTTGGATCGAAATCAGCACGCATCCTGCTTCCCAGACCCGAGCCAAGAAAACAAAGCGGGTTTGTCTGGCAGGCCCAACGTGAGCTTAGGGGGTAGCTTTGTCCATTGAGGCCCAACGTCAGCGTAGGGGATCAGGCACACCAGTGGAACAGTGGGCCTTCATTGATGCTCTCGTCCCAAAACGGTTTGGTCCATTGATGTCGTTCAACGGCAGGAAGCACAAGTCTTGTCACTGACCCTGTTGCTAAACCAATGTACAAAATGAGCTCTTGGGGATTCTGTCCTGACTATTTTGAGCTTACGGGCGTTAGCAACACTTTGCTATCACGAACCTCGTCCAAAGGCTCACAAACCCCTTCTCCGCTGACCGCTGACCTGCGTGGATCTCCCAAGAAAGCGCTGTACCTTGCGGGACAAAGGGGCTGAAATTTGTTTCAGTTGGCATTGAGGGAGGCGGGCTGTCATCCCCGCAGGTTCAACTCTCTCCATCTGGCTCGGAGACCTGGCCTGCCATATAGTGTCGGCCTCGCAAAACTCGGGTGGCAAATTGGCATTGCTGACCACGTCGCTATGTCACACCCTGCTGCTGCAGCATGGGGGGACGGTCACGAAAGAATGTTCGCTGGACCATCCCTGGGATGCAAGGCTTATATATAATACCCATTGTTGAATGAAAGGCTCTCTATGGGCAAATTCGCCGACCCCTCTGCTTCCGGAGACGTGGGCAGGACTGGTCCCGGGACCAGTCCCAGGATAGAGAGACAAGCGTATGACCACTGGTAGGATCAACGCTTTGGAATGGTTTTGCAGTGATTTTTAATGTGGCTTCAAGGTGGTTGTAAAGTGGTTTTCAGGTGGCTTTAATGCGGTGTTGAAAGTTGTTTAAAGTTTTTTTTTTTTGAGGTGATCCCTCTTCACATGCCCCAGCGCCCTCCTCATCGTCGCTGCCGCCTTCCTCTTCCCGCTCTTCATTGCCGTGCGGGGGAAAGGCGCATTCTGGCACGCTGGAGTTTTGCAGCGGCTCCAGCGCCGGGGGTTCTTCAAAACCGACCTCTACATCGTTGCTGGTGCGGTTTCGAGCCTGCTTCTGGATCGTTTTTTGGCTTGGGCTTGTGGGGCTGGCCTGGTGATGCAGGTGATGCGCTGAAAGCTGGAAAAACACATGGTTGTGATGAGGTCAAAGCTGCCTTGTGTGGCAGCTGGCCCAGGCTCGCCCCGCGCCTTCATGGGCTGGCAGAACCACAGCAAACATGACAGAACGATTGCCGAAGATAGTCGTGGATACGAACACGGTCGGGGGAAACAGCGGCCGCAGTCGTGCGGTGCAATTGCCACGGTGAGTTGTGAATACCCCCCGCGTCGCAGGCGACCCACGACTACCTTCTATAATCATGTTAATAGAAATATTCAGAATAGTAGCGACACTGTCAGTATAGAATAACAGTAGAATGAAAAAATGAATACTACTAAACAACATAATATATACATATAAAAATGTACCAATCATGCCGTTGGTATGATAAAAACCAGCTTTAATCAAAACATCATGACTGTAAACAATAACAGTAATAATACTCATAATGATAATATAAAAATAATAAGAAGAAACCGTGCAATTTTGCTCGAAGCCTGCATGGCCCAGAGCTTCAACGCGTTGCAGCCAGACACTATCCTTTGCGTGGTCGCGCGGCGCTGCCCGTGAAAGCGGTTCTCTGCGCGTGTGCAGAACCACTTTCGCAGAAGTGCTTCTGGCGGATGAGTTTCTTGCAGCGGGTGTGCTTTCAAAGGCGCTGCCTGTTGGCTTCGAACATCTTAACAAGCCAGAGCTGGCGGATATAGAGCTCCGCGTCGCGGTGCTGGCGCGGTCCGCAGCCTGCCGAACGGCTGTGTCAGATCCTCCCCGCCTTCGTCCGGAGTAGCAAGGGACTAGAGTGAAGCTCTATGGGGCTGCCGCCGACTGCCGCAAATGCAGAGGATGCAGCTCGGTTCCCTGATGATGAGCATCACCTGCATCATCTGCTTCATCTGCTTCCGGTGGGTGTTTTTGAGCTTTCTTTTGGGCTGGTTTTGTGCCTGCAGGCTTGCGCATGTGGTTGATGGGAAATGCCTTCCGCAATGCATCTTGCATTTGGGGCGTTGCCCTTGAAAAAGGCTCGCCCTGGGTGTTGCACAAACCGGCGCCGGCGCCAGCCAATCAAAGCTGAAGCCTCCGAGGACCAAAGCTTCAAGGAGCTGCAGCCAAGCCTTATCCTGGTGCAAAAGCGTGTCGCGCGATGCAGCCCCACGTAAACGGGTCTCTGTGCGCGCGTGCGCACAAAGTCGCTTGCGCGGAGCAGCGTCTTGCTGCTGTTGTTGTTGTTGCTGCTGCTGCTGCTGCTGCTGTTGTTGTTGTCGTTGGTGTCGTCGTCGTCGTCGTCGTTGTTGCTGTTGCTATTGCTGTTGCTGTTGCTGTTGCTGTCGTTGTTGCTGTCGTTGTCGTTGTCGTTGTCGTTGCCGTTGTCGTTGTTGTTGTGGTTGTTGTTGTTCTTGTTATTGTTATGGTTATTGTTATTGTTCGTGTTATTGTGATTGTTCTTGTTATGGTTCTTGTTCTTGCTGCTGCTGCTGCTGCTGCTGCTGCTGCTGCTGCTGCTGCTGCTGCTGCTGCTGCTGCTGCTGCTGCTGCTGCTGCTGCTGCTGGTGTTGTTGTTGTTGTTGTTGTTGTTGTTGTTGTTGTTGTTGTTGTTGTTGTTGTTGTTGTTGTTGTTGTTGTTGTTGTTGTTGTTGTTGTTGTTGTTGTTGTTGTTGTTGTTGTTGTTGTTGTTGTTGTTGTTGTTGTTGTTGTTATTCTTGTTATTGTTCTTGTTATTGTTATTGTTTCTTGTGTGGTGTTCTTGTTTGTTGTTTGTTATTTGTTGTTTGTTGTTTGTTGTTTGTTGTTTGTCGTTTATTGGTTGTTGGTTGTTGGTTCTTGTTTCTTGTTTCTTGTTTCTTGTTTCTTGTTTATTGTTTGTTGTTTCTTGTTTCGTGTTTCTTGTTTCTTGTTTCTTGTTTCTTGGTTGTTGGTTGTTGGTTGTTGGTTGTTGGTTGTTTTTTGTTGGTTGTTGGTTGTTGGTTGTTGGTTGTTGGTTGTTGGTTGTTGGTTGTTGGTTGTTGGTTGTTGGTTGTTGGTTGTTGGTGTTGGTGTTGGTGTTGGTGTTGTTGTTGTTGTTGTTGTTGTTGTTGTTGTTGTTGTTGTTGTTGTTGTTGTTGTTGTTGTTGTTGTTGTGGTTGTTGTTGGTTGTTGTTGTTTGTTTGTTGCGTGAGCAACGTAAATAAGGACACTTGCATGCCCCCGGCCCCACCTTGCAGCCTTCATTCCAAGCGTGAACATGCATGAATCACTGAACTCGGGAATCCAGCAAGTGTAACAGCCCTGAGGTGCCATCATATGAGAACACGAAATGAGGCCAGGGCAAAGTGTCAGCGTGACGCTATCACCTTGGCTCAGAGAATTGTGTTGATTGATAGCTGCGTCAACGAGTCACTGTCAACATACTCCCCACGCGTGTTGAACATGTATTTGTCCCGCAGACTCTTGCACAAGCCCAAGAACAGGCACTGTAGAAAGTAGAAACAGATTCTATAGACCCCCAAAAGCCTAGAAGTTCCATGTCAATCTTCTAGGGGGTCGTAGTGTCGATGCCGGCATCAACTTGGTGGATCACAGGGAGGTGATTTCAACCAAAACAGCAAAGGATTCCATCTATGTGGCAAAGTCCTACTAAATCGGGTTTTATTCATGGGTTTTGCTCTGTTTTGCTCATGGGTTCCGCCTGGCTGCCTTTTTCCTCTGTTTACGGGCTGCCTCGGGCCTCGTTGGCTTCATGGCAACCAGAGCGATACCCATCACAGCAAGTTGCCCAAACGGCGACATCTTGGCACATCCCGATTCCGCATTACGGCAACTACCCCTCTCATGAATTAATTCGGTGCCAAAAACGGCACTGCGATTTGCCATGGAGCCCGGAAAGGGAAAAGGGAACTACCATAACTACCCCCTCAACATAAATTGACATCTCAAGAAGCCCAAATAGGAGCGTACAACTATGTCAGGCTCACATTTGGGCGCTGGGTTGGAATCTCTTTGCCACGGGCAACCCTGAATCGCGTAGTGCCTTGGCGGGCAAAAGCAGTATTGAGGCATCAGCTACGAGACACTTGACATCACTCGGCCGTGAAAAACAGGAGCCCGAAACATGTGACATCTCAATCCCTTTGGGGGAACTCGAAACCTACCGAGTTTTGGGTACCCGAATCATGTCCTCTTCCTTTGCGTGGCAGGGCTTTTCCAGGACGGGACCACGCTGCTTCTCTTCGCTCTGCATGCGGCGCTTTTCTTATCGGTGCGGCGCGCCGCTTGCCTGTAGCCCTTCTGGGGCAATTTTGGCTCTCAGAACAGGGCCCCTCGATTAGCTCCAGCAGGGGAAATCCAGCGCCCCCTTTACACTTTGGACGGCATCTCAAATGGCCCGGCCGGTCAGGCCGGCCGGCAACGGCCGGTCGACGCGTGGCAAGCCCATCGCCTTCTGCACGCAAACAAGAGCAATACTAGGTCCAACAAAGTGACATCCTCAGAATTACCCTTGCGGGGAACCACGCCTAAAAGTAAGTTCGGCAGTGTTCACTTGGGACCACACCTTAGGCTACACAAGGAGCGCCTTCGGCGGGTGCGGCTCAGACACTACGAGAGCAGCTGGATCTTGGTCCTACCACGTGGTGATTCGAGAGAAAGCTGCCCACATCATGATCTCACTCTCCCTTTGTGGGGGGGGTGTGCGCGTCCTTACTCCCTCAGCTTCTTTGCCGCCCGGCCAAAATCTTAAAAACAACCAACAGATTCCGACCCATGTTTAGTCTAGTGACAATGAACAATCAGGCAACCATGGCTCAACCAATAAAACCTGAGGCAAGCAGCAGGTGCAAAATCCACCCCAATGTGTCAAAGGCATTCTTAACCCCACAAGGCCGGAGCTGGCACTGGGTTGCAGATAGGGGTCTGAACAATTCAGCAGCTTCCATTGCGGTTTCGTACCCGGCCCACTCTCAAGGATCCGTCTTTTCAGAGGATGGGCAAAACCAGGGGAATATGTCCTCCGTGGAAACAGGCCTTCCGGGTTCAATTCTGTCAGGTAGCAACCCCTACCTTGTTCTTCTATCTTCTCCACAATGAGACTTGTTTGCTCCTGGTCCATATCGACACTCCAAAAATAATGAAGTTCAAACGAGATAGGTAACACCCTGGTTGCTGTTGACCCCTGTGCAACAAGTTGTTCACCTTTTTGCAGGTCCGATGGAAAACCCGAGCTGTTTCAAGCCAAAAGTTCTCAAGTCTCAAGTCCAAAGATCCGTTACCAAACCGCCATATATAAAGATCTTCAACAGTTGCATTTCACTGGTAGTTTCCAGAGAGGCCCCGCCCGGCTCCTTCCACCCGGCCGAATTCCGTGAATTCCGCGAACTCTCCGCGCCTCGTCTCCACCAGATGTGGTGAGCTGAGCACCTGCAGGCCCTCCACGCCTCAAGGCGCTCCGATCGGCTTGGCTTGGCGGCGTCCAAGCGCTTACCGTGGGATGTTTTTTTTGTCGGCGCATCTCGCGGCTCGCCCCAGCAGCAGCCTGGGTTCCTTAAAGGTGTGGGATGGTGGCGGAATCCATTTCGCATGAAAGAAACCAGGGAAATGATTCGCTTGTGAATGGATGGTGGCGAGTTCCATTTTGCACCTTTCAGAAATCCTGGAATGATTCGATTATAAATTTCGCACCTTTCAGAAAGGATTGTGAATACCAACCAAATCTTTAGGGCTGCCGAGGGATCCAAAATGCAGGATTTCGTCCACCTGCAGCAGGCTCACTTCCTGAATAGGTGGGCCGAAAAGAATGTCGCCGCGCTTTGTTTAGCACGGATAGTCTTCCCAAAAACTTGAAGTCCAGGCACTCGGGTTTCGTCCAAGCCAACCGGTGTTAAGTGGATTACGCCCATCCACGGTATCCTACGATGGGCCCTCTTTGCTTGCATCTGCAAGCGCCTTCGCATGCTTTGGGGGAAAAAAATCACCGGCACTTAATTAGTTTGGGCTTGACCTGGCTCTGAGAATGATCTATCAAAAGGAGCCTTGAGCCAAATCTCAGCAAATCTCAGCCGATGTGAACAAGTTAGGTGCCTTTCCGCAGGTACATTTCGTCCAATGGAGCCTCTTAGTGAGGCCACGCCAGCCGCAATCTCTTTCTTTGCAAGGGCCAAAAAGGTCGAGTTAGCTGTTTGCCAGTTGCCCAGTGATCCTGGTAGATCATTGGAGAACCCACTTTGTGGTTGACCAATGGCGGGGACCCCACGAAAATGGAGAAAGGCTGGAACCCACTGATCTGGGGCTTAGATACCGGGTTCTGCCTTCGGAGCATCTAGGGCAAGCAGCTTGGAGGGAAGCCGATTTCAAAACACAAGTCAGGGCTCAAACAATGAGGCCACCAAAGGCCGAGTGGACCATACGCAGCACACTTGCCCCTCTAGATCCTTTCAAACTTTGGGAAACAGACCACATCCGAAAGATGAATCGCAGAAGGATTCCAGGGCCCAACTACCTGCTCGCTTGGGGAGGCCCCAAAATTAAACCAAAACAAGGAAGGCTTCAGCAACTGCTGCCGAGCACTGGCGCTTGTTGGGCTGGAATTCAATCCCGGACAAAGTGGGTCAATTACCGTCTATTGAAAAAATGAAGCGTTGAGAAACCGGTGTGGATATCGAACCATCCTCCCAAAAGCTGGCTTCAGCCCAGTTCAACTCCACACATCTTTGGAAGTGCCAGATCTGTTCAAGGTCCAGAGCTTCTGCTCTCCTTAGGCCATCCTTCTGTTCTGCTGGGGCCATCCCTCAACCCTCGCCACCTTGCCAAGAGTGGAAACCGGGTCGCTACTGTCACAAGTCACCTGACCCCGATTGGTGGTGGTTTGGACCGGGATCGAATCCTCAAGCAGCCAATCCAAACCACGATTTTTATGGGATTCTGAAGAAGGGCAGCTGGCCGGAAAAGCAACGTGAGAAACGCCGCCGTCTTCGACTTTTCGACCCCGAGGTTCGGAGCGCAAGTTGCAAGCCCCCGGCCTATCACCAGGCTGCCGGTGTCCTTATCAATCTGGTTCGACATCACCTTGGCGCGGGCCCCCAGCGACGTTGGAAAACATCCACACAACCGAGTGGTCTTATAGCCCAAGCTGAGATCCACACCGAGCCGGGGTGTTGCCTTTCTAAACCAAAATCCAATGCCCCCCCCCAAAAAAAAAAGGGACAAGAAGAATTAAAAAAAACACTTTGGGCAAAAGTTGCGCAAGCTCCAAAGCCCGGCTTCACTTGCCGAACAGCAACATTTACGTACGGCATCCGGAAAACAAGCCGCACCCCCGACTATTCTAAAAAAGGTCAACTGGCATTTGATGCTGTGGAAGGACGAATTCCATTTCGCACCACCTAACAAACCCTGAAATGCGCTAAACAACCTTCAGCGCTTACATAAGCAGTCGAAAAATCGGACACCTCTGGTTGCCTTCAGTGTCGGCCCGCCGTGTGGCCTGCGCTCCGGACAGCTGAGGGAAAGTCACTTGCAAACCGAACCAAACCAAACCATTCAAATGATTGAAATAAATCTGAGGTGGTCAACAGAAAGGCTCAGGTGCCCAGTGGCCATGCGAAAACAAATGGCATCCTTTTTTGGGTTGTTGACTTTAGAGGAGTTGTGCGGAAGGGAGATGGATGGACGTTACGCCAAGGGCCATGATTCTGCAACGGATATTGATCACGTGGTCCTTGACTTTCATTTGCAGATACGCATGCAAGGCCATGTTTCATCAGTGCCCTCGCTGTCAGCTTCCATATTGGGCACTAGAGCAACCCTTGATTTGGTGAGAACTGCAAGGCACTGGGACTTTCCGAGTTGCGCCTTCCGGCGAACAGGTTGAGTGGCCAGATGCGCACCGAAAACCCTCGCAGGTTAAGCTTGACATGGAACCCATGGGCTGCCCCCCCTCCCCCCCAAATTTCCCCCCCGCAAGGAGATTCAGTGCTGGAGTGAATGGTTCTAAGTTATCACGAAGCGCAGAGAAGTAGCCAGTGACAAGCAGACTTGAAACCACATAGGTGAACCTTTGACTTGCCGTCCAACACAGCATGCCCCAGTACCCCCCAATATGTTTCGTTCTCGTGCCGGAACGAACTCCATCACACTCTGAATATGCGGGGGCTTATTAACACAGAATTTTGAAAGCGGTCTCGCAATTTCAGGAGTGCCTCTGATTTCTGTTGCCCTACCAGGATTCAGCCCTGCCAGGATTCACTGGCATGACCATGTATCCCCCTAGAATCCCCAGCGACGGAATATATATATATATAGAAAATTTAGGAACCCCCAAGACAGACCCATTGGGCACCATTCTTCTACCTGGCTACAACCAGAAGCCCCTCCCAACCGAAAAGAAGAAACACAAACATACACCGGAGGTCCGTGAAGTCTGTGTCCAGGCCACACACATCTCCGAGACCCCCGAGTTCCTCGGTGCAACGACTCCCTGGAATCGTGACCCACATGCGCAAGTACCCAACTTCCAGCCGGAAGGACTAGGTTTCTGCAACGACCCCTCTGCAAAAAGTGTTTTACTTTTCGTGGGTCCGATACGCCAAGTTTCCCAACAAGTTGAAGTCCAAAGATCCAACCAGGTAGGCATAAAAAGAGGCTTTCTGAGCCATCTAGTTAGTGGTGGAAGTTGATCACCTTTAGGCAACGCAACGAGTCCAAAACCTTACCATGGCTGGAAACTGTGCGTTACACATGCATTCGATGGGTCGCGCGACTATCCCTGCGAATGTACCCCCCAGAGAAGGATCCTACTTCAGGATGCTCCGAAAACAAAAGGATCATCAATACAAACTATGAGTTTGATAATTATATTTGCCTCCACTTGCGTAAGCCCCCTGGATCCAGTAGTGATAGGTTCCCATCAAAACCAACACGGGAAACACAACATTATAATAAAACAAAATGGAAGTTGGACCCCGAGCTTGGACCATATTGTCGATGGTTCAGAGCCTGAACAACTAAACATTCATCCTAGATACCCCAAATCCAGTACACAAAAAGTATATCTAATTCAAATGATGTTTCATGTTTGGCTTACATATGCATACTTATATATATATATATATCCATATATATGCATATCTATTCAATCAATGTCACAAGAAAACGGCTTTCCTTTCGGTTTCCTTTAGCCAAAACCGGGCAGCGAGCGCCAGCCAAGAGTCTTCAGGGCATCGGCTTCCGCCGGGCCGTGCCGGGCGCGGCCCACGAAGAGGGTGCGGCTCACCTGAGCGCGTCTGCCTTTCGGGTCCAGAAAAGGTTCCCTTCAGCTTAGGTGCGGATTTATTTATTTTTCCGGATGTTTTTGGGAATTTCCCCTCCTTTCAGCTCAGGGTTTGGTTTTTCAGCTCAGAGTTTGGCTTTTCAGCTTAGGGTTTGGTTGCCAATGGCCCCAAAACACCTTTGTTTTTTAAAGCTTCTTGGGACCTGGAACTATGGTACACCCAAAACTTAGTTGATGTTGGGCTCCCTCCCTCAGAAGATTCTGAACAAGCCTGGAACTAAAAGGTGATGATCACCTTTTTTTGCCACTAGATGCCACTAGATATGAGAAAATAGGAATAACAGGTCGAAAGCTCGGCCATGAGCACAGAAGGGCTCCCGAACCGATCTTTAGGGTTCCCTTCAAGCGACCCCAAAAGGGTTCCAACATTCGATTCACCACTCTTTAGGGTTTCCTACATACCACAGCCAATGGAACCGCTCCCCCACCCCAAAAAGGGAACTCACACACAAAATGGCAACCGGAAGGTGGGGCCACCTGGCTTGGAGGCATCCAAAGCACCTTATTGAGCTGAGCACCCGACAGAAAACAACTCTTGAAAGCAGAAAGAGATCAAAGAGAAAAACCAATAACTCTTTTGGACCAAAAGGGAAACATCAGAAGGTTGTGGAGGGTAGTGTTTGGATCGAAAGGTTAGGACTACGTATCCACCTCAACAATCCCCGTTTCTTTTTGGTCTGGTGATGTCTGGTGGAAAGCATCTTGGGCCAAGCTGTATCTTTCGAGGGTGCTGTCTGGCTGGGTATGTGCTTCGCATTCCAGGCTCGTGAATCGCCACACCAAATATGAGATGGAGCACTCGTGCAGAAGAAGTGGAACACCTCTTGGCCCAGGCTCGTGCATCTTGAGATCTTTGAAAAAAATGAAGTCCCGAAAGGCGATGCATGTTCTACGCGCACCCTTCGAGGTACGCCCCCCGAACCCTTCACACGCGGGTGACCAATGTGCGGGCGCGTTAGCCGAAGAATCGATGGACCACGGGCATCTATTCCCAGCTCTTGAAACACGGCCACCCCAAAGGAGTCCCAAGCAACACAACTCATTTCCTCAGTGGGTTGGCCAACTAGGTCTTCCAGTAGAGAGGTCACAACAAGGGTACCAACTTTTGTCGGTAGTCTATTTTAGTAGGGGAATCAATCCTCCCCGAAAAAAGAGTAAAAGGGCCCTACTGGAGGACCTAGGCCAAAACAACTCAGGACTCGCGTTTGCCACTGGTCCAAACCCAAAGCTGAAGCTGCAAGTTGGCCGCCATTCATTCGAGAAGCTGTGGTGTCCATGGGAACGTGGAGGTACAAGGAGCAGTAGCCCTCCTTGGATCCCGCTTTTGTGGAGTGATGATCTCTCTCAGTGGCTATGTCTTGGTGCTTCGCCCCAGTGAACCCCCGTGTGAACCCTTTAGGGAAAACCATTTCCAATCATGGAAGTGGATCCAATACCCACCACTCACCTCCCAACACTATGTTAGTGATGGTCGCTTCTTGGTCACCAAATAAAGTTGCGAACATGTCTGCCGTTCCACCCCCCTTGACGTTTTTCTTTCGAAACAGTTGTGCGCAAGCACAGGTACGGCAACATGATATCTCGGAGTGAGCGCCTTGATCGGAGAAAGGACAAAGAGTCCGATCTGACTTCTAAGGCGCATGTTGTTTGTTTCCACCATTTTGCGGATTGACCTGCAGTCAACTATAGACTGCATGTGTGTCTGCCAATTGCCAGCTCGCATGGCCTAAGGTGAAAAAACAAACCAAGCGGGCCACGAAACAGGCGGAAAGGGGTGGAATCTGGTAGATTCCTCTGAACTGCGATCTAGAAATCCCCCCCCCCCCGCCGGCAAAAGCTGGTAGCTGGTAGGCCCAGCTTCTTCGCAGAAGTCGTCACCTCCCCGGCATCCCCAAGACCAGCCGATCAGGGAGACCAATCAAAACACGACCAACAGAGTGCTGCAATCGCCCAAGCGAAAGTGAAGGACTGATGATGGGATTCCAAAAAACATATTATGATGAATAGACCGCACCCTCTTCTTGTTTGTTGCTTTTTGTTGATATATATACATATATAATAAATAAATAAGTATATATCTATATACATATTTAAAAGCCAACAAGAGCGGTCGACTGAGAAGTCGTGGAAGCTGGCTGGACGAAGGCTTGTCGAATGCCGGGATGTGGGTCCACATGGCCCAGGGCTTGTCACCTATCATGGCTGGAATTTCCCTAAGTGGGCTGTGATCAGGGTTCCTTTCCGCTTACTGACTACCCTGCCCCGTTCAGAAAGCAGCCTTACGGACGCCTGGGGGCCCAGAGATTGGACAAAAGGCACGCTGTGGGGCCAACTTGGTTCAACCTCCAGACCCCAAACAGGTTCAACAACCGAACCCAAAGGATGCTGTTTGAAACTATCGTTTAAAGTTTAAACATGTTTAAGCCGCTGCTGTTTCACAACTTCCCTTTAGTTTCCCTGTGGATGTAACCAGGGCCGAGCCGTTCACAAAGTATGTTGCAACTCCAGAAACATCTGAACATGTAGGACATCCCCAAGAAAGGTAGGGTAGCAAGACTGCCGGACAGCCACCTTAGATGATTCCCCACTCTGTGACTCTGAAAATAAAGGCCGAGATGCCCTTTCCAGGGACTCATCCTATTCTGGTCCTACCCAGCTCCACCACCAACATAAGCACAACGATCTGATGCTTCGGCCATGGGTTTGAAGCACAGTTCTGATGCGCCCACCAGCATTGGCACAAAGATCTGCTTCAGCCGCCATGGATGCCAAGCACCAAACAACCCCACGAAACGCCTCGGGGGTAGAAATGGAAGCGGAAGCCCCCCAACCCGCCGGCGGAGAACTCGGTTGAGGCCACGAAGTCGCCCTGCGAGCGAGGGAAACCCCCGCGCGAAGAGGCCGCGTCAAACCAGAGGTGTTCTTTTCTGGGCAGAACCTATGGCTCCATTTGGCTAAGACTTAAGACCCCTGGGAAAAAATGTTCAGTAGCGATAGGTTCCCTTTAACACCACCAGGGGAAAAAAGTATTCTTAAGCAACTGGAAGTATGGCTCCGTTTTGGGGTGGATGAACATCCATTTGCCACCTATTTTGAAGTTCACCAGGGGTACAGGGTTTTGATTCATAGGTGTCCTTTTCTGGAAAAAAATGGTTGGCCCTGGTAGTTGATTGAACCGCCAGGCATGGCCCTCTATTTTTGAACCAAACCAACCAAAAAAGGACACCTATGCTCCAAACCCCTGTGAGTCGGCTGTGAACGTTGATGGTCGGGCGTGAATGTCAATGAGGAACACTTTGGTGGACATCTTTTGGGCGGGGATTCACGTCCACCAGCCACTTTTGAGGTGGCTCCCCCAGCAAATGTCATAGCCAATTGCCCTGCTGGACGTTGGAGAATGTCCCATGCCGCCCCCCCCCCCCAATGGACCATAGACTGATCATGGGTTCATGGGTTCTCCTAGTGCCCTTTTTGTTGGCTCTGGTCACATATGGCCATGCGATGGACGGCTGCCAGGACTTTCGGCGGCCGATAGCAGAATAGAAAGGAATCAGCAAGAACAGGCTCAAGCAGTAAAACGAAGTCAAAACCGACAGGGCTTGGACTGCACAACTGATTCGTGGCAAGTGCAGTGGTTCACTGAGGCCACTGGCCCTTTGTTTTCCTGTTTGAGTGTCCCTATCCCCCTAGCAGGGGGAGTGGGGTGGGCGAAAAGTCCCCCAATTCCATGGGTCTTCCCTAGACAAGAGCGAAAATGGAGGCATAAACATAGGTGGCCTGTTGGATAACTGGATGGCCCTGGTAAATGGATGGCATCAACCCCATCCAAACCAGTGGAACCCATTTATTTCTATCCAAACGCACCGAAACAGGGATCCTTACATGAAAAACACCGATCGAACATTGCAACTTGTAAATGAAAAACTTCCCTCTGTTTCGGTGTTGAAAAAGCAACATGTTTCAAATGGTTGCAACATGTATGTTTTAAGGAGCCCTGCTAACAAAAGGACACCTATGACCATAAAGGGAACTCCAGGGCTCCCCGGCTGGGTATGCGTCCCTGACCCCACCTTCTGGTGCTGTGCTCTCAACTCCTCCGCCTTTTCGATCCTCAGCGAGCGACCCCCCAGGAATCTTCTGGCCTGGCCGCACATCAGCGGTTGACCTTTTACAGAGCCTTCGGGAAAGTCGAATTCGGACCGAAATAATTACTGCATGGATTTTGTTGCAGGGACATTAACCTGTGGATTCATCATTGAAAACGAGACCAAATGTGGGTTCACCTTTTGGAAACGAGGCGCAGCCAAGGTCGTGCTCCAGCCTGCCCTGAAAAATCCCATGGTGTCCTCCCCCATTCGCCCGTCGTCCGGCAACATGAACGAAGCCATGGTGCTCAAACCCAGTGCCTTCTGGCACTGGAGGCCCCTCGTTCAATGTCAGACCGGTGGCAATTCATTTTTGCCTTAGACCTCCAGCGGCCAGGAACAAAACACATGCGGGTTGAATACCGTCCGTGTATGGTGTTCATTTGTAGTTATAGCGGCATGACCCATATCTATTGCCTTCACTTTCGCGCGACCGGTCCGTGTTTTTTATGCCCTGTGCGGCCAGCCGAATTGTCTCAGGCCAGGCTTCCGCCAGTGAACGACTTCAACCTGCCGGTTCTCAATGACCTGGCCGAATGGATTGCTCATGCCGGGTGGACGACTCACTTCCTGAGTGCCCAGAAAAGGTCCAAACATGTCCTTTGCGACCATGGTATTCCTCAAAAACGTAAAGTCCAGGAAGCAAGACAAACAAGAGAAACCTATTCTCGTCATTCTTCTCATTCCTTGGTTTCTGTTGACCCCTCTCGCAAAAAAAGCTCTCAACTTTTTCTGGGTGTTTGGGGTCTCCCCCCTGTGATTTCCACCAAAAGCTGAAGTCTAAAGCTCCGCCCACTGACGCGTCCAGTGACACGTCTGGGAGCCTGGATCCGCTTCTCCAGCTGGTTGAGGTACTCCTTGGCTCATGGGCTGACGGCATGGGCCCAAGGAGCCTGGCCCGAAATAGGCGAAGCAGGAAAGCGAAGCAGGTCCTGCAGAGAGCCTTCAAAACAAGAAACAGCTTGAATGCCGGATTTTCCGGCCGCAAGACAAAGCCAAAATTGATGGTGGCAATGTTGTCTGTGAACTCTGAAGGCCGCTAACACGAAAGTATTCCACTACATGCCATCAAGTGTCCTTCTTGGTGGAAAGCAGATGGCACTCGTGCCAGCTTGTTCTAACTTTAATCATTTACTAAGGGCATCGACTCTCACAAGGACACCTACCGTGTCACACAATGAACCATGACCCGCCTCTCCGCCTACGTGCTGCACCCCTCCTCCCCCGATCCGATCGCTGACCCCTCCTCACAGCTGTTGCGCATGAAGAGTTCCCCAAGGCTGGCCGACCTGGGCTGGGTTCAGCCAATCCCCTGCTTAAAAAGCTTAAACACCAAACGTGGAGAATCCTCCGTTCATTTTCCCAATGAAGGTGGCCAGGGTCAGGTTGTTTGAACCATGCTTGCTCGACCGGCAAGACCTCCCCATCAGCAACAACAAGGCCACAGAACGTCCCTTTTGGGTGGGGGGGGGAGCTTAACTTCTTGAACATGGGGGGCAACAACATAGAAGTCCAGTAACGCAGCTCTGTCGCCGAAAAATGGAAAACATACCAACAGCGGTCACCCACGATTGACGATGCTGTCATGGAACACCGGCCAGCCTTTTGAAAAGCTAACATGTTGACTGCCCCCTGCGACCCAGTTTGGATCTTTCAACTTTCGAGGCAGTATCTCCTAAGTGCTCCCTGCCTCCAGAACTCGTACCTGAACATGAACTTGATAGGGGCTTGCCCTGAGCAAGTCACCATGACTCACCAAGTGGAAAGGAAGCCCCAGAAAGGAACTGTGTGGTGTTGCCCTCTGAGCCCTTCATGCAAACCCGACGGTCAAATCTGCCCTCAGCATGGTGCGCCTGTTTGGGGACCCCCCTTTTAATGGGAAACCAAAAGCACTAAAGCCAATGGTTACCAAAAGGAAGCCAAGGATTCTTCCAGGGTTTCTTAGGTGCTGCAGGATGACAGTGCATATCCTTTTGATCCGTTTGGTGAGAACTAGATGGGTTCCTCGGGTTAGATGTTTTTTTTCTAAGCCGTGGGTTCCTTCCGCAAAATTTCCCAAGACTTGTCTGTTAAAGGGAAACCACGAGTAAGCAAAAATTGTTACCAAAAGCAAGCCACAGATTTTCCCCAACCGCTGAAAAGCCGTGGGTTTCCGCCAAATTCCCAGCAGGTCCCCGGGGCTGTCGGTCGGTCAGGTCCGGGGCGCAGGGAGGCCACTTCCGCCTGCTCGGCTTCCACGGCTTTTCGCATGGCCTCCACCTCGCAACCCGCTTTTTCGCGAGCCCCGGCCATTCCAGGAAAAAGCGAACTCCACCTCTCGTGTTAAAAGCGCCTTCCCTGAAAGTGCGTGTTCTATTGACTTGGTGTCCAAAACGGGGGGAAGGGGACGGGCTCCCAGGGCCACCCCAAAATGGCGGGTGAAGGGGGCTCAGGGGGGAGGGGGGGGGAAGGGTGTCAAAGCTGGGACTTAGATATCGCACTTGCTGAGTGGATGGGCAAAAAAGAGAGTAGAAAAACCTTTTAGTTTGCAACCGAAGTGGTGTTCCCAAAGAGTTTAACGTAGCTTGATGTGCAGGAATCCGGAAGCTCCTCAGATTGGCTCAAGGAAGCCAAAAGCAACACCACCATTTTGTGGGTCCCCAACTCTTGGCGCACGCTCAGCCGAAACTTTCCTGCACCAGTAGATGACACTGGGCTGGTACTTAGTTGGTCCGGGACGAATCGCCACATGGCTAGCTTTGACCTGGTTGTAACCCGCGGAAAAGGGACTTACAACCATGGATCGTTGATCGTTGCCACAAGTGCAAAATATGTTTACGCACCTCGCTCACACACGCACAAGGGACTTCATGATGACCTTACGTATCTTAACCTACCTGTTCGTTTACCATCCTGTGTCTAACCTGGCAGCTATCCAAGCTCAAGTCGAAATCTCTAACGGTATGCCGGAAACCGCCGACGAACGGTCAACCAAAGTATAGAACTGATCTCATGCTCCAGTGTTTTTGACTTAAAGGCAAACCACGTTTCACGGAAGCCGCGAAAAGAAGTGGGCCGGGAGCGCACCGGGCACCCCATTGCCGTGCCTCTTGCTCCAAGCCTTCCAGCGGGCTTGGCTCATTGGCTTCTCCTGAAGTTTGAATCATTGATGTTGGATGGCTCAATTGTGAGCGTGCGTGTGTGTGTGTGTGTGGCTGATTGGGTGCGTGAGTGCGTGTCTGTGTGCGTGTGTGTCTGTGTGGCTGATTGGGTGCGTGAGTGCGTGTCTGTGTGTGTGGGGATTGAGTGTGTGTCTGTGCGTCTGTGTCTGATTGGATGCGCGCGCGTGTGTGTGTGTGCGTTGTTTCGGGCACAAGTTGAAAGATTGCTTTAAAGGCAGCGCCAAAGGACAAACATACTGTACAATGACAATTCCCTACAAGCTGAATATGAAGGGGTTTCCCCTGAAACGTGGATGCCTAGAGCCCCAGCGTCCACATAGCCCAATGGGCCGAGTCCAAAACCTTCAGTGGGCCTTTTTCGCCCTTTTGGGCTCCCTCAGACTTGGGGAGGACTGGGCATAGTACCACCCAGCGGCCCCCTACACGTGCCCTTGGAGTGGGTGAGCACGTCGAAACCGCCTAACAAATCAGCCGCGTGGCGGGCGCGTGGTTTGACCACGGTGCTGCCAGCAGTACGGATGGACCCCGGGCGCATGGCGCTCGCTCGCTCCGTTTCCCGCCAAAGGAAAAAAACAGATGCCAATCAGAGAAACACTGCGGTCATAGGTGCCTTTTTTTTTGACCGTGAGGCTGTGAGCTCCAAAAGTTGTTTGATCGATTTTGATGATGTTTCAGGCTGTTTGCCGTGACGCCCCTACTGTGACAGCAAGATGGCATGAGACCTTCTTGAGCTTTGAAAAGAGCAGAAGGATGCGTGGGAGCATCTCACGTCGAATATGGCCAAAAAAAGCCAGAGTTTCTTGCCACAGTCATAGGTGTTCTGTTTGGTTGGTTTGGTCGACAAATAGGGGGCCCCGGTTTACCTGGTGCTTCAATCATCTACCATGGCTATCTATTTTCTAGGACACCCGCAGGCACTTGCAATCGTTCGTATGTTTGACTTATTGAAGGCTTTCAAGGGTATTGCCAGGGTCTCTGCTTGAAACTTCCCTTACCCAAGCTGTCCAAAACGGAAGCTTGGCCAACCCTACATGTTTACTCCTTAGTGACGGGAAACCACCAAAGGCGCTTCTTTCCCGTGAAAACCCCATCTTCGGAAATATCCCCGTTTGCAGGGCCTCATCCATGCGTGGTGAGGGGCAGCAAACGCAAACGCTGAAGCCCCAACTGCAGCGGAGAACCGGCGGGTTCAGTCCAACAGCCTCGGCGTTGGAGAAGCTACATGGGTGAGCTATGGAAACCACGGTTCAACAGGGGTGTTTCTCAAGATTTTTGTTAAATAAACTCATCCAGAATCCAGGTCGGTGTCCTTTCGGTTTCCCGTTGCCACCAACAAAGGCTCCCCTATCTGGCTGTGGCAAATGGAACTTGTTCAGCGAGTGGATCCTTCTTGATTCTCTAGCCGGGCACACTCCAGGCGGACAGGGCCACCAACAGGTCCCAAGGTCGGTCAGTGAAGGCCTCACGCACCAGAAGATGAGACTTAACCAGCTAAACAAGCAAACAGGGCATGTTCTTTTTCTTGTTTTTTTCTCTGACCTGTCCAAGGTCTTTTTTTGATCAAATACAAACCTCCGCAGGTCAACCAAAAAAAACAGTCCCAGCAAACAGGTCAAACGCCCAACTTACTTTGGACATGTTCTGTACTGGGAACCCAGGATTGAAGATTCATCAACTGGTTCAAGGGTTGGGACACATCACGCCCAGTTTGACCCCTCCCTCGACATCGCGTTCCGACTGACACTTCAGCGCCGTGCCCTCCGAATTCTTGACCAAGGGGGCGACCTGGATAGTTGCAAAAGCGTGAGGGTCGGGGGGAGGTTAGGAGTTTCCATTCAGACATGGTGTGCTTACTTAGCAGCTTCAAGCCGACACGTTTCAATGTTTGTTTCTGGAACTGAGACCCTCAGAAGCCATGCACATGTGCGCGCTTGTTGTTTCCCCCCACACCAAAAAAAAAGAAAAAAGGAAGTTGCTTGTGGCAAGCAGGAAAGCTGATGCATCAGTTGATTCCCAAATTCTGCGAGTAGGAACCAATGGACATCCTGAAGCCTATTAGGCTCCTTCTGACTGGCAACCAGCCATGTTGTTTTGAATTTTGTTTTTGAGGGCGGGGAGGGGGGTGAGGGGTTGGCTGATGTAAGGGCTCCCTTAACTGGCAACCAGCCATGTTGTATTGAATTTTGTTTTTGAGGGCGGGGAGGGGGGTGATGGGGTTGGCTGATGTAAGGGCTCCCCTTAAAGTCTGGAACCCTCTGTGCAGTGAAAAGGTTTCGTATCAAATGCCAAAGGTCGAAGGCCAAAGTCTTGTCTGATCAACACTTTGAATTTTGAGCACAAGCATTCCATGATCTAGCCTTGTCCAAGGAACAATGAAACAATAGATACCTCTTTGCCTGTTCTTTGGTAAAAGGGCCGGTCGTCTCAGTGCACCATCTGCCCTACCCAAGGCTGGCTCTAGTGACACTTACCGGACAGAGTTCGACATTTTCGTTGCCAGCCCGAAGCAAGAAGCACCACCGGCGACGGGGCCGCCGCATCTAGCGGATGACTCACATGAGCAAACATGGCCTGGCCCTCCCGCCCGGCTCTGTCGAAACAAGGGCTTTCGTGGAACCTCACAAAGGCAAGCAGAAGTCAAGAGGTTCGTGCCATTGACCAACAGCCAATAGCCCAAAACGATTCAAAATAGGGACGCCAACGAAAAATGCAAAAGACCACATGTTCAAATGGGTGCGCCGAAATAGGGGACCTCCTTGCTTGGTTATAGTTTCCTCTTGGCTAAGAATGTCCCTTTTGAACAACTCGAGGGTGGTCCTCAAAACACAGATACAACATGTGCCATCAAAACTCCTGGCCGTTGGTTCCCATGCGCAATGCGCGGCCTTTTGCCATCCTAACCCCAAGGTCGTTTGATTCATTCTCTTGGCCAATCCGGGAGCTCGGGAACTTAGCTTTTGACCGTGCCATCCCTGGATCCATTTACCTGGTTTTGCAAATGACCAAGGGAGCCCCCCCTTTTGGCATGCCAAAAGAACAATAGCTGGTTTACTATGAGCGGGTAGCTGGGATCACTGGGATGGATAGCGCCTGGCTGCGACCGACCGACCGCAGATCGATGGATCGCCAATGGCCTCGTCCAAGGACTTGCCTTCCACGGTCTCGCCATTTACCGCCACCACCTCATCACCCTCCAGGACCCACATGCCTGCGAGAGGGAGGGAAGCACACGCTTCATGGACAAAATCCGCTTCGCGCCAGTTGGTATTGCTGGTTTGTCCCAATATTTGGAGGGTCTTGTCTATCCTAGGTGAAGGATTCCGTCCATCAACGGCATGAACACGAATTGGATCTCCTTACCTGATTCTTTGAGGTACCAACATGGAGCCCACCAGGGGGTCCCTTTTCAAGAAAAGTAGTCTGTCAGGACCCCCTCCTGTGAGGATCTCATGCCCGTCGAAAAATGAAAATTGCGTTGGGCTAGGACCGCAATGACTAGTCCAAAGCATGACGAAAGTTGTTCTTAAAGGCCCCGCAAACCCATTCTACTTATTTAGGCCACAGTACATGTAAAGACTTGCGACGGTCGCACCGCAAGCCAGTCACAGCTTTTGAAAAATGTCTTGCGCTGGCACGCCATCTTTCCCGTGTGCTGGCATGTTTGTTGGTGAAAAGGTACGCGAAACCCAGGTCGCAACAGGCAAATCCCGCCTTCCTCACCATCCACAATGACCTCAGGTGCAATAAAGACGTATATAGGTGCTTTGCTTTTGTTCCCGAAAAAAAACATAGAAAAGAAAAAAAACGCACACAGGGAGATTGGAGGGATGGCGAGGAGGATGCTATGCAAACCGCGCTCCTTGGACTTTCCTCACGGCAGCAAGTTAATTTCAACCCGCTAACTAGGTCAAGCTGGACAGCAACATCGCCTTGTTAGAGTTGCTCACACACACTGACAATATGAGTAGCCCTTGGTTGTAAGCCTGGGTAAAGGAACTGGGTGGGGTTCTGTCCACAAACTGCTTCCTGGAGGGTTAACAAGTACGGGCTGCTTGGCGGCATTGTGTTTCCGCCCTGGGCACGAGGGTCTGAATGTGGGCTCCGAGCTTGATGAGCTGCTTCAATCCATCACGACTCCGGCAAATGTACCAGTGGACTCCTTTGAGTTGATATTTAAAAGGAACCCAACGAAAAACAATTACCTTTAGGGGACCCCTATTTTGAGAAACGGCCACATGCGAACATGTGAAGACCTTGAACATCAGAACCAACACAGTTTCCTTCGCTTCCACCGCCCCAACTGGACCCTCCTGCGGGATGCCCTAAGCATCGGCAGCAAAGCAGAAAAGGGGGCACAAGGCGGACATCTGTATGAATAGGTCATCAACTGAGGGCACCTGGTGCTATTATGTGCTATCAAGGGGTATATTTGACCGATCACATGGAGCCACCAGTGTCGCCATGCTGAGCGGTCGGCACGTCGGTTCAGCTGATCGGTGTTGCCGTCCTGCACACTCCGAACGGTATTGTTGTTTTACTTGTAAACAACACCTGCATGGTATCTATCTCCAGGCTAAAGCCATGGCTGCCATAGCCACTTTCCCCGGCCACAACACTGCCACAACTGAAACCTGGGCGCCCCAAGTCCCCAAGTGGCCGAAGGGTGCCGCCTACTGTTCCTGCAAAAACGCTTGGGCTATCAGCCAGGCCAGCTTGTTGGTAAAAGGGGTTAGCCTCCCACCAACAATTCAGTGCCTTTCCGCCTTCCAAATGGAAAGTAGTCTTCCAAAAGGGGCCCGTGCACTTCCATGTCTTTGGGGCGAGGGTCAGCCTCCCCAGAGCCAGACTGAAGTGACAACCGCATTGGAGCTGTCCAAATGATGCCCCGGCTTACACGCTTGCCCCCAAAGGGCTGGGGGAAGCATGCTTCATTGTGAAACTCTAGGCGTAATCCAGCATCTCTACTCTTGGTATGGTAGCAAAAAACTGACTGTTTTTTGCAGACCCCCAGTTAAAATGATCAGAACAAACATGCCAAGAACAGTGAAGTGCCCGGGCGGCCCATTAAAAAAATGAACTATCAGGCAATCATTATGGGCCTGGCGAAAGTGGGTGTGTGGAAAGGAGGGCCAGAGCAATAGCATGGGACAAGCCAGGGTTAAACCTGACTTGGACGAGCTAGAAGTTGTTTGAAGTTTATACCATTAAATGGCCGTCAGTCATAGGCCCTCTGAGGGTCCAAATCTTCAATCCACAGCCAACACTTGGCATCAAAAACGCAATCCAAAAGCAAGGAATCTCGAGAGCTCATGTGTTTGATTCCTGGCTGCCGGTCCATAACCAATCCAAAGCCCAACACCGAAAAGATTCGAACAGCCGGGGATCTTGGAACCTGAAGCGGAGGCTTCCAGGTGCGGCTTCGGCTTTGGGGCCAGTGGATTCCAACAGCAACCAAGGGATTGGCTCGCTTCTCCCAAAGTCTCTCCCTCTTCGCCCAGGCTTTGGGGCTGGCAGGAAGCTAGCCAGCTCCTTTTCAAACTCATTATGGAACAATGCAAGCAGCATATATCCCGACCTGTTGCAATGTAAGAAACAGCTGAAAGCTTATTGGCCTTGGCTGCAAAACGAAGACACTTCACAAATACAAGTTACCACTTTGCCAAGCACACGAGAAAGTGTTAGTGCCATAAGTTCCTGTTGCTGTTGCACCTTGGTTCCCTCCCATATCTTTTGAGGCCCAAATGACACAAGCGGGGCCAGGTCACGCCCGCTTTTCCCTGCTATCGCTCAGAAGCTTCGGGCGGTGAGACCTCACAGTGGACCCATTTTGGGCCCTGCGGGCTACGCCAGAGGCCTGTCAAGCAAGGCTTGCTCCATCTCCCGCCGCAGGCTGCCTCAGATGCTTGTCCTAGAAGCCAAACAATGGGTCTGAAGAACATACGAAAGTATCCAGCCCCAGGTCTCATCAGTGCAGTGTGCGGGACTTCATGTTGATCACCCATTTGGCCCATGTTGCCCCCTCTTTCTATGGCTCCACAGCATGCCTCACATTCGATTACATTCGGGTCGCTCACCTTCACCAGCTCATGTAGACTTACACTCTCCATGATCCTTAAAAAATGGGGTCATTACCCAAAAATTGGGGGTCATGACCCTATTTTTAAAAGGTCATGGAGACTCTAGGGACATGTCCCTTGGACTGCGTGTTGCTTTAAAGACCGCGCAAAACTGACAGAGCCTGGCTCCCCGTTTGGCCCAAGTTTGACGAGTTCGCCACGCCTCTCTTCCCAATGCGAGCTTGGAAAGGTGGCAAAGCAATGGCCGGTCTAGACATGCCTCATTCAGGTTCGCCTTGAAAAAGAGCCGTTTGAACAAATCTTGCCCATGCCCCCGCAGCTGTGTTTTTCCACCTAAACCTGCGGTGACTTAGAAACAACTTGCCATCCGAAAAGGAGAGCCACCCATGCCAAAAGCCTGGTAAAACTGCAAAACGGAGACCTTAACGAGGCAACCAGTTCAGAAAGCTGCGTCATCTCGCAACCCTTCCCGCTGCAAGAAACTGCGCCCCTTTTAGCGGTCACATTTGAAGGGCTCTCGAAATTTCTTTTGTGTCTCGACGGGTTGGCGTTTAACCAGCGGTGCTTAGACGGAGCCCCTACAAGTATTTACTAACATGTCCCTTCTATCGTCATGACTGGATGAAGCCTTGAAGTACCCCAGGGCCCCAGTCTACGGGTCAATTCTCCATGACCCCGAATTACAAACTTGGGTCATTTCTTGGTTGCTGTTGACCCCTCTGCAAAGAGTTGTTGTCACTTTTGCTGGGTCCCCTTGATTTCCCCAAAAAACTTCAAGTCTAAAGATCCGTTGCCCAATAGCAGTCAAGCCTTAGGGGAAGCATAAGGTTTGGCTTTGGTAGATTTTCCACCATGATAGACATAAAATGCGCGTTTGATGGAAAAAATACCCAGTGTACAACAATTGAGACACATGAGTATTCAAGGCAGACCAGAGGCAATTTGGTTTCCCATCCTGGGCCGCTCCGCCCGCTGCGTTTCGAGGCCCCGGCGGGAGAGCTCCGGCAGCTGCGCCCCGCGCAAGTCCGCGCCGCGCAGCGTGGGCTGCAGCAGCTGGCTATCTCCCAGCTGGGCGTCCCCTCGAATAGCCAATTGAAGCAATTGACTCAGTTGTTCAGTGACCCTGGAAAAAAAGGGAGCCCTTTTTTGGGAAGACCATTTTAGTGGGGCAGCCACCCCCCCAAAAAAAAAGGGGAAAAGGGAGCCACTCAACAATGAAGATGATAGGTCTGCATTGTGAGACACGTTGGCATGACAGCATGTGGCCAAATGCTTTGCGACCGAACCCAGGGCCAGCAGACGAAGAACCGAGCATACCCGGAGTCTCCAAAATGGGTCCATGACCCCATGACTTTGTCTAATGACCCCATGTTTTCAGGGTCATGCCGACTCCGGGTATAGCTGTCAAAATCCAAAAAAGAGGCCCTGCCAGCACCCTCCGACTACCGTCTAATTTTTATTTGCGGAACTACCGGGTATTTGGCAGTATACGTTCCGAAAAGAAAATAAACGACAGTAGATCCGCGATCGTTTCATGTTGCCCCAAACAGTCAAAAACAAGACCACGGGGTGACATGGTGACACGGGGCGACACGCAGGCGACACGGGATGACACGCAGGCGACACGGGGTGACACGGGGTGACACGGGGGCGACACGGGGCGACACAGGGGGCGACACGGGGGCGACACGGGGCAACACGGAAGGGGGCGACACGGGGGCGACACGGGGTGACACGCTCAAACGACAGTAGTTCGCAGCGATCTACTGTCGTTCTGGGGGGTGACACGCTGTGAGGCGCTTGCTGCACTTGCTGCCACCCCTTGATTGCTACCACCCCGGCTATGGCATCTCCCCGCTGTAAACAGTAGCTAGCAGTACTTAGACTATGGGCATCCCGCAAATAAAATAATTGACAATAGTTTTGCTAACTACGGTCGTTTTTGGGAAATTTCTATCTACTGTCGTTTGGGCAGTAGTCGGAGGGTGCTGGTGTGAGTTGTCAGTTGAAACATTGAGATGTTTCAAAGGCCCTCACCGAGAACCGAGCTGATGACCGAAGTGACTAGTCTGAAGAACAAGCCGAAGCTTCAGGTGAGCCGCGACTGGCTGTACGTGTGGAAAACCGGTCACAGCTTCCTGCTCTTTGATAATGGCTGTATTCCTTGTTGCTTTGGACAGGTTTGACATCTATTTCGCCAACCCTTAAAAACAAAACGTGTTGGAGACCCCAGGAATGTCCCATGGCTCAAGTAGAGGGAGGTAACTCTTGGGAGTGGGCACCTCGGCGCCAAAAACGTGGCCGAGGCGCGCAAAGATGCCTTCTCCAGGTTCGTTTCTTGCAGGGAGGCCTGCATGAAATCCGCGCCTGGCGAACTCCGAGCCTGTACGTTTCTTGGACCACTTCCATTTGCTGAAGCCCCCCAAAATAAACGTTTTATGTGTCCAGTGATAGACCCCCTTTACAACCACAGGGAAATGAACAACTTTTCTGAAGCAAATGCAAGGCCAAGTGGCAGTCCAGGGGTTGACTCAGGGTAAGCTCCACTCTGTCTGCCAATTTTGCAAGGGCCCCGCACCATTGGTCAGAATATCCTGTATTTGTTGGGCGTATGCTTTGCAGAATGCACTATGCTCGCTGAAACTTCTCCATTTAGAGGTGCAATGAGCCGGGTGCAGCAGTGCTTTCAGAAACATCAGTTGCAATATCTCACACAAATCCCTCGAGACATTAGCTGCTCTCCCGCCTACGCGTTCAATGCGTATGCCAGGTATCTGAAAAGAATGTCCTCAACCCTTGCAACACTTGGGGCCACAACGTGTCTGGGACAACCTGGACACCCAAATCGGCAGAAGTTTCTGCCTTGTTGGAAAAAGGCGCCTTTTTGCTGTCGGCGGCGTTTTGAGTTTTCCTGGCAGCGTTTCTTCAACATCAAGTTCTGTGCAAAAAAACAGCCAAAAATCGGCGGAGGTGTCAGCATGTCGGAGTGTTTGTTGAAGTTTGTTGCGCTTCGGCGTATTTAGTTGCGGGCGGCATTTTTGTTGGGTCTTTCGGTGGAAATTTCTGCCGGGATCTGCCGGGGCCTTTCGGCAGAAAGTTCTGCCGGAGGGTGCAGAAGTAGCCAGTCCCAAGCTCTCCTGCTTCAAGCCGCAGAGTCGCGACCCTGTTGCGAAGAGTTAAAGAGCGGAAGGAAAGCCAGGAATTCACCAGCAGGGGGCCTTGCCAAACCCCGCTTTCGCCTTTTCCGGACCCCAGCCCCCCCCCCCCCCACTTGTTGTTCGAACCACCCCACCCCCACTTGTGGTTCCCCCCCCCTCCTCCCTCAAACAACAACTCCCCCCGGGTGCCTTCCAGGTCCGCCTGCGCCAGTTGCGTCTGCCACAGGTCGCAGCGCACGAGCCTCGCCCGCCGCATGGAGCTGCGGCTGAGGTCGCTGCCCCTGGCGAAATCGGGGGAAATCGGGGGCAACCTACCTGTTTTTCTAGAGAGGGGGACCCCCTCAGCGTGGGTATTTTACCTGCAACTTTGAGAGGCCCTGCTCCTACATCTGCCCAACTGACAAGCTGGTGACCTTCTTCAGCTGCCTGAACTTAAGCAGCTTTCAGCTCCTACCTGATCTCAGTCCACCTCTTTCTGTCGTCCCAACTGGCACCTTTGAGCTCATCTGCAGAGAAGACCAACTTCTTGCTTGGATCTTTGGCCCAAAGTGGGACTTGATCACTCGTGCCGATTACCAGTGAGGATCGTTTCTTAACTATCATCTCTGCATCTGCAACCAAATGTGCATCTTCAATCTCAGCAACTGGAGCAAGCACCTAGATGCCAGAGCTTTCTGTCAATATCCTGGAAGACTGGGCCCGCGCCTGTTCTTCAACTGGTGCCAGGCGAGTAGTCTGATCTTTGCTCAAGTAAGCTGCACCTAGCCATTGGATCAGCTTCTCTACATAAGAAGCTGCATACTTTGAGCTCTGCTGGAGCTTGGTCTTTCTCTGTAGGGCACAGTCAGCTTCTTTCAGCCAAGCTTTCCTTTGCATCTCATTTCTGCAAAGCTCTGCCCTGACCATGCATCTCTCTGCCCTTGCAACCAGAAGGGCAAAGAACTCTTTCAGCAGCTCATTCTTTGAAACGTTGTGGCTATAACTCCTTTCTTCTCCCTCCACTAGCTGCTCTGGCAAACCTCTTCTGCAATCTTCCAGCCTCTGTGTGCTCATCTTGAACTTTCTCCTTGCAACTGCCCAAGCTTCTGCTTCTGAGGCTGAGACTCTTCCAGAATCATTTGAATCTCTTCACTAAGCTTCATCTTCTGAAAGGCAAAAAGCTCTTGCTTCCTGGAAGGATCTGTCTCCTTCTTCCTGTTGCTTAACTGCCCACCTGCAGTTCCTCTACGCTCTTCCAGAACTGGAGGCCTGCCACCTTGTCTGCCTGTTACAGCTTCTTCTGGGTCTTCTTTCTCCAGCTCTGCTAGCTTCTGGAGGTAAGCTGACATCACTAGTGCAGCTTCTTTCTGCAGCTTGCTCTGCTGCTGCCTCTGGTATGGAACTACCCTGTTAGATAGCACAGGCTCTATCTCCTTGGCTTGCTGCTCTGGTGTTCCAAAAAACTTCTTTACGCTGAACTGTTTCTTCTCTAAGCTAGCTGGGCTGGGGCTGGGTGCAAGCTGGCTGGAAGCTAAGGACTCTGTCGGGCTTGCTGTCACCTGAAGCTGTGTTGTCGGGCTGGCCACACCTTTGGTTTTCTTGTTGTTTGGTGTTTGAAACCTTCTAAGCTCTTTCTTGCAAAGCTGTCCTGTGTTGAAGCTTTTGCTGCAGGCAGCCTTAGAAACATCGAGAAATCAAAAGAAGGTGTCCAAAATCAAAAAAAACATTGAGAATTCGAAAGAAACCATCCAAAATCAAAAAAACATCGAGAAATCGAAAGATTTTGTCCAAAACCGAAAGAAACCTCGAGAAATCGAAAAAAAAACAAAAAACCAATCTGGCCAACAGAATGTTTACATGATACCAGCGTAACCACGACAAAAACGCGATTTTGTTACCATGACAAGGTGCAATGTTACCACGGCAGAAAAAAAGCGTTACAGCGACATGTTTCTTGCGGGCTTATCCCGACAAGCAGGGAAATAGAAAGGAATAAGAAGGCATGAGAAGGTCAATAAGAAGGAATAAGAAGGAATAAGAAGGTCAATAGAAAGGAATAAAAAGGCATGAGAAGGTCAATAAGAAGGAATAAGAAGGAATAAGAAGGTCAATAGAAAGGAATAAGAAGGAATAAGAATGTGAATAGAAAGGAATAAGAAGGAATAAGAAGGTGAATAGAAAGGAATAAGAAGGAATAAGAAGGTCAATAGAAAGGAATAAGAAGGAATAAGAAGGTCAATAGAAAGGAATAAGAAGGAATAAGAAGGTAAGAAGGAATAAGAAGGTCAATAGAAAGGAATAAGAAGGAATAAGAAGGTGAATAGAAAGGAATAAGAAGGAATAAGAAGGTCAATAGAAAGGAATAAGAAGGAATAAGAAGGTCAATAGAAAGGAATAAGAAGGAATAAGAAGGTCAATAGAAAGGAATAAGAAGGAATAAGAAGGTCAATAGAAAGGAATAAGAAATAAGAATGAATAGAAAGGAATAAGAAGGAATAAGAAGGTCAATAGAAAGGAATAAGAAGGAATAAGAAGGTGATTAGAAAGGAATAAGAAGGAATCAATAGAAAGGAATAAGAAGGAATAAGAAGGTCAAGGAATAAGAAGGAATAAGAAGGTCAATAGAAAGGAATAAGAAGGAATAAGAAGGTAAATAGGAAGGAATAAGAAGGAATAAGAATGTCAATAGAAATGAATAAGAATGTGAATAAAAAAAGAATAAGAAGGAATAAGAAGGAATAAGAAGGTCTAAGAAGGTCAAATAGTAGTCCTAGTAGTAGTAGTAGTAGTAGTAGTAGTAGTAATAGCAGTAATAGTAGTAGTAGTAGTAGTAATAGCAGTAATAGTAGTAGTAGTAGTAATAGTAGTAATAGTAGTAGTAGTAGTAGTAATAATAGTAATAGTAGTAGAAGTAATAGAAGTAATAGTAGTAATAGTAGTAGTAGTAGTAATAGCAGTAATAGTAGTAGTAGTAGTAATAATAGTAATAGTAGTAGTAGTAATAGTAGTAATAGTAGTAGTAGTAGTAATAATAGTAATAGTAGTAGTAGTAATAGTAGTAATAGTAGTAGTAGTAGTAGTAATAGCAGTAATAGTAGTAGTAGTAGTAGTAGTAGTAATAATAGTAAGAGTAGTAGTAGTAGTAATAATAGTAATAGTAGTAGTAGTAGTAGTAATAGTAGTAGTAGTAGTAGTAATAATAGTAATAGTAGTAGTAGTAGTAGTAGTAGTAGTAGTAGTAGTAGTAGTAGTAGTAGAAGCCTTGTCGGGATAGTCTTCACTGAAACTTGTCGGTGTAACAAGATTCTTTGTCGTTGTAACAATGACCTTTGTCGTTGTAACAGGTTCTTTGTCGTGGTTACGACCCTCTCTAGTCCCAGAATCTTTGGTTTTTTTGGTTTTTTTCGATTTCTCGAGGTTTTTTTTGGTTTTGGACAAAATCTTTCGATTTCTCGATGTTTTTTTCGGTTTTGGGACAGGAGCCTGACATCTGCAAGGGGGGTAAGGTGGAGAACTGTTTGCATGATACCAGCACATTGTCCCAGAATCTTTCGATTTCTCGATGTTTTTTTCGGTTTTGGACAGGAGCCTGACATCTGCAAGGGGGGGGTAAGGTGGAGAACTGTTTGCATGATACTAGCACATTGTCCCAGAATCCTTTTTTTTCCTCGGTTTTGGCCAGAATGCAGCAAAATTAGGTGTGTGCAAAAACCCAACGCTCACAGGGTCCCTTTCTGTTTTTCTAGGGGTTGATCATTCCAAGGTTCTTTCTAGGGGTTGAGTGCTTTTCCATTCATTCCAGGGTTTCTCAGGTGCGAAATGGATTTCGCCCATCTTCTAGGGGTTGATTTCTTGTCCATTCTTTTCAATCATCCTTCTTTTCAAAAACCGGATGCGTTTCCCCAGGGCTTTTGATAGTTTCCTGAAAAGATTCGGATCCCTGGAAAGAATGGGGAAGGTACCCCTAGAGTTTTGGCTTGAACCAAGCCACCGAACAGCAAGAGGTTTGCTAGTTTGCCTAAGTTTCAACCAATAGTAATTTAAAATAACTCAAAGTATCAACTAGTGAAACCAACCGCAAAACATTAATGCATTTCCCATTGGATTCGAGCAATCCTCGAAACGTCCGACTGTCAGGCCTGAGGCTGGCATCGTGGAGATTGGCGTCATCCAAGCAGGCCTCCGACAAGAGCTAAGACTTAGCTTGCTGCGCAGGTCATCCCCAAAGTGACAAGTATTCCCAACTGAGAACCATAATTTTGCCAGGGTCGAGGTAGCAACATGCTCAACCGGGATAAATTAATTGGGATTCACCTGCGAGCAAAGCGAGCCACTTACGCACCAGACTTACCCCCAATTCCATGACGGGGGCAGGCCGCATGTGGAAACGCGGCCGAACAAGTCGCAGAACATGTCCAGCCCGGAATCGTGAGTTGCAGGGCTTTTTGCGCCCTGAGCTGGGGACAAAGCTGCCTCGGGAGTTCTCACATACCCAGTGTTGCCATTTCCTGCATATAGTAACCAAGGGAACCACCCTGTAAAAACTAAAAGTGAGCATGGCTGGCTACCTAATATTCAGGAAACTTGCCCATGGCGCAGCTTCCATTAACTTGCAAGGTAAAACACATCCAAGAATCAAACATTACGATTCCTGGGCTCCACATTGACCTGTTCCACTGAAGGCTCCGGAAGGTTTTTTTCTTGAAAGGCAAATTTTCGGATACCCCCAGCTCCGTATCGGCTCCCTGCCACCAGCCACGGCCAATGGGAACGAATCCAGGATTAAGGTGACTCTTGAGATCTTGGACCCCCTCCCGACTGGGGATGAGCAGGGAATGAAGTTTCAACTTTGGTTTGATAGGCTTCAGATGGGGCCCGGATCGCACTCCCCAAGACTCCACCAGCTGGGGCGTGGTATGGAGAACCAAGGCGTGTGAGCATCAATCACCTATGGACCCACAGGCAAACCGGTGGAAGCATAGGGCCTTTTTTCTTCCAGACACATCTCCTGTTTTCCCTGGAGTTTCAACTAAACATCCACCACCCAAAAAAGGAGCGCTATCCACCCAAGGTTTGGGCTTTGGCGAGTGGCCTTCATTGTCCCAACCCCTGTTGATTTGTTTTTTAGTTTTTCTTTTTGTGTGTGGTCTTCTTCTTCTTCTTCTTTTTTTTTTTGGGGGGGGGGGGGGTGTCAAAGCGCCTCCCGCGTCTGACGGATGGACATTGCGGGGCCAAACAAATGTTTGACAGCCCTGAGGAGTAATTTAGGAAATCTACATATGAATAGGAGGATGCATAAAGCTGTAGGGCTATAGGCTATAGGCGTTTAGATATATGGATGTTTCAAGACCAGGGGTTCAACAAAAAGGAACGCCACAAGAATTGAATAGTGAAAGTTGAGACTGGTCCTAAAAGGTCTAAAATCGCTTCAACATACCTGCGGATTAACATGGAACCTGAACAATCCATGAATCATTCGTAGAGGAAACTCCTTTTGGGCAATGGCCCCAAATATGGGTGGAGTGTTCCAAATTTGGGCCATCATGCGCAACACTATATGCTTTTGGGCTACTCCTGGGATTCCTTCCGTTCGTTTCATGGGGGAGCCGAAAAACCACAAAAGCCGAAGAGTCACTCGATTTCCATGGACAAAATGGAAAAAAGGCCTGTTTTACTTCGTTCCGCTCAAAAAACGGAACCCCTCCCCGCAAAAAAAAAAAGAAGAAGAAAGAAACAGGCGGAAGAAAAACAAAAAGGGCCGGAACTTTTTCACTGGCTGCAACAGAGGTAGGGGAAAATTTGAGTGAACGGACCTAGGACCTGGGGGACCTGGGGCTGGCGGAATCCACCGGTTGCAGGCATCGTCGCCCGCCTCCTGGAGCTGGGTCTTCCACAGCTTGGCCTTCCGGAGCTCGCAGCCCTGCAGCTGGCAGCCCAGACCTGGTAGGAGGTGGGGAGGGGGTGCCGGGTGTGTTTACCCAAATCGCCTGGCTTTTTTCTTTCGGAAATCTGTCAGCTTCGCTACAGGGTGGATGCTTCTTCTGAAACCTGTCACTTGAACCAGAGGTGTGAGCAACCATTTAAGCGGCCAACGTTTGGCTTTTCTTCGGGCCAAACTGCAACAAGGCGTGACCCCGGGCTTGGAGCGCGGATCCATCGGAGATTTGCACCCCAAAAAGCGGAGTGGCCTCCGCACAACACCCTCCCGCCTTCTCTGAACATGTCACCGGAATGGGGAACACCGGAACACCCCATTGTAACGTCGGCCAGCAAGCGCGCAAAACTGCAACCGGAGGCCCGGAGCGAGGCCCGAAGCACGCAGATTCGCCACGGGAGCCGCCCAAAAACGCTGATTTGGTGCTCTCGACCCTCGTTCAGGCTCTCCCGTTGCCGTTTCGGGCCGTCGGCCGGCAAGCGCGGAAAACTGCAACGGGAGGCTCACAACGAGGCCCGAAACGCACGGATTGGCAACGGGAGCCGCCGAAAATCCTGGAGCCTCGTTCGGGCTCTCCCGTTGCCGCTTTGGGCCGTTGGCCGCGCGCAAAACTGCAACGGGAGGCCCAGAACCTCGCGCAAGTCTTTCTCACATTCTAGTCTTTCTAAGGCCTAAGAGTTAGTCTTCTTCCTGAAAAAGCTTGGTGAGTTTGCACAGCTTCAGGCCTTAAGCAGCTTGAGGGCGAACTGACGCAGCTTCAGGCCTTTCACTGGGGATTCACGGAGGCTCCAACCCCCCCCGAAAGGCGTGTCAAGCGAATCCACCCGGGCCCGGAAACGGCGACCAGCACTGCATATATGCCCCTAGGTCCATTCCCTCATTTCCCCTACCTCTGTTGCAACCAGTGAAAATTCCGGCCCTTTTTGTTTTTCTCCAACTTTTTTTGGGGGGGAGGGGTCACAAGATTGTCCCAAACAAAGGCGTGCATGAGACTCGTGCACGGCAAGCGGTTGGTGATCCTGGATGGACAGCAGGTTTGGTGAGCTTCCCACTGTATTATTTGTCTTTCTCACCTTCACCTTCCAGCAAAGAAAGAGAGCCCTACAAGAGCAGTTCTACATTTTGGGGGGCACATGAAGGTACACAGCGGGGTCGTGCCTGAAACTGGTCCCCCCATGGGTCACAATCCAAATCGGTTCGCCCCCAGTGAACATCCCAACCCCCACTAAAATAGGTTCTAAAATGGGTGGTGAATTCACCTACCAACCAAAATGGATCCATTGGTTTTGACCCACAGCCATTGCTGTTGACCCCTCTGCAAAAGGTTATTGTTAGCTTTTTGCGGGTTTAGTGGAAAACCCAACTTGATTTCAACCAAAAAGTTCAAAAGTCTAAAGATCAGTTACCCAACACCCCTCTCGATTTCCAAAGGGGTCCATGGAAATCCCAAACACCCCCACGGTCGAGTCGAGCAGTCGAGCCGATTCGGCTGGGGTTCCAATACTCAGTCGCCCCTTAGGGACCCAGGAAAAAAAGTTCACCTTTTGGGTTGCCTTTTTCTTTTGATAGACCAAACTTGAAAAACCAAAAGGTTGGATCAGGTCGATTCGCTTTGGTTGCAACTGAGAAGTTCCTAGCTCCGAGGTCCCCAGCCAGAGGCGTAGGAGAGGTCGGCCTCCAAGAGCCGGGCATAAGGCGCCTGCAGGCCTGGCGGAGAGACGAAGCCGTTGGTTACATTTGCTTCCGTTGGCTTTTTGGCCTGGAAAAAGGAAGAAAGTGATAGCTTCCATTTAAACCAAGGCAAGCCAGAAAATAAGGCAAAAAGCAAATGGAAGCTTGGCATCCACCCACCCGTTCATGGTTTCCTCCAAAATCAGGCACCACGGGTTTGCAAAAAAATCAGGGATCCCTCTTTTTCGCGCGGCTTCAACATGGAGCCGGAAGGAAATGCCAAGATTGATCTGGCTAGGCCCCAATGATTTATCTTGAATGTACTGAAGCAAGGCCAGACCCTTCCTGAAACCACCTTAATCAATGTTAAAGAGGGTCTGGACAAACAAACATAAGCCCGCCCCCACCGGCCACATGACCATAGGCCATGCTTGAAAGGGCACCCCCACTTGGTCAAGTTGCCAGCCTACTGTGTATGGACGAAATCATGCACCAGTGGATAGATGGTTCATCCCAATCATAGGGTTTCATCTATCTCAACGATTGTCCGGAGTTCGTCCACAGCAGGTCTAGTCGACGGTCTAGTGGTTATCCTTACCGACCGAATAGAATTTGCTCTTCACGGGTGCCCCTTTTTGGCTTGCCAAGGAGAACCTTCGTGAGGGATATGCGCTGGGCCAACCGAACACCTACTGGGCAACACACGCTCGCATACATGTATGTTATATATATCTGTGAATATACAAATACGTGCAATACATATACGCGCACATGCTAGAGGCAACATTGGACGTGGATAAGCTGGAGTTTCCCCTGGCTTAGAGAAGCCCATGCCCCTCCCAAAAAGACCAAACATTTTGGCTGACCCTCGTATCTTTCATACGTGCGCCAATCTCTCGCGATATGAGGTCTGGAAAACAAAGACTTCTCCGTGCACTTTGGGTGTCCTTTTCCAGTGTTTTTTGTCACACCTGCACAAGATAAGGTAGGTGGTTTTCATTTCATAGGGTTTCATCCATTGTAGATGGCGCACGATTGGCCCATCCACAGTATGTCTTTGTTTGCCTGCCACGCCCAGTGTAGCCATCGCCTGCCAGCTTCGCGTGCTGCAGCGACACGCCGCTGAGCACGGCGCGTTCCAGCTTGGCCTTCGCCAAGTGTGCGCCGTCTAGCTGCGCCCCGCGCCTTGGGTGCGGAACTTGGAGGGTGGTCGCTGTAGCGACCCCTCTTCAACAAGCTCTTCACTTTTTGCGGGTCCAATACGGAAAAATATGAGCTGGTTCAACCAAAAACTTTAAGTCCAAAGATCCGACCAAATAATTAGCCATAAAGCTATACCAAAGAAGTCTTGCATTGGTATGGGAGGTGAGGTGATTCAGGTGCGCGTGGCTATGTTCTTTTTCGGAGGCGGCGGTGGTGGTTTTGTGGGGTTCGAACCACATGGAAACCAAGAAAGGGGGGCGGGGAAGGGACATCCCGGAGACTCACGCCGCCCGAAACCCAACAGAGAACCGGGAGGCCTGCCAACGCGTAGACTTTAAAGCTGAACGCATCCTCCCGAGAGCAAAGAACAAACACAAATTTGGGTCATTGAAGTGACATCCTCATAATTAACCCCTAGATGGCGATGTAAAGGGAAACCACACATCAAAGCAATTCGAGGGCCCCTTGAAATGTTCCCTTGAAACAACAGAGGCACGGCTGACACACGACGAAACAAAGCCCACAATGACGTCATCCACCAGCCCTTGATGTTTATCGATGGCGCAAACCAAAAAACAAAAGGTACCCTCCTGTCCACTAACATGGAACCCACCAGAAGGTCCCTTCTGAAGGAAAATGGTCCAAACCAGGACCTCTCAGGCAGGTTCCATGTTAGTGGACAGGAGGCCAATCTTGCAAACACCCCTCTTGCCCAAAAGGCACTATATAAGCCCAGGTATCCCCAGCAATGGGAACGCTCCCTTAAAAATGCTCCGAACCACTCGGCCTATGTGGGCAAAGCTGTACCCCAAAGCTTTGAGCGGGGGAAAAACGAAAAAGAAAACACTAGGCGTTCGCGTTGTGAAACCCCATTTGCTGAAGTTCCCTGGACAAAAACACTCCAGCATAGTGATAGATTCCCTGTAAAGCCAACAGGGGAAAGGAATAAATGCCCCCAACTAACATGGCACCTGTGGGAGGGTACCTGGAAGATCCAGTTCCTCTTGGAGGGGCCAATTCCCTTTCAGGTGCCATGCCCGATGTTCGTGGGAGTTCAGAATTCGCGTTCCAGCCCTCTCTGCGCCAAGATGCATCTGCGCCTCTACAAAGGAGGCGGCATCACAAATGGACTCCTTGAGGTCGGCGCCCTGCAAATTCCTTAGGCCATACTGTGGATGGACGAAATCCATTTCGCACAAATCTAAGCAGCCTGGAATGAGGCGATTCCCCGGCAAAATGCCAAACAAAGATTTCAGCCATGGTTTCGAAGTGGTGCGAAATGGACTTCGTCCATCCACAGGACTTGTGGTGGGGGAACCCCTCATGGATTTGACCCCCCCCCTTGAGGGGTGGGAGTCGAATTCTCAATTTAACTTGGCCAAGCCCGAAAGGCAACAAACAGGATGCGTGAAATGTGTGCTTCAAATTTGACCCCAAAATGTACAGGACCTTCAACAGAAGACCCCAGCAGAACTCCAGTGGATCTCCCTGCTTCCGAAAATTTAAAATGCAAGCCCCTTTATCTCACTTCCTCAGTGGATTGGACCAAAACAGTCCAAACTTCTTACTCTCCAAAAAGTTCAAAGTTCAGGAACTCAAGGAGTAAGTCATGAGAAGTGTCACCAAGAATGCTTCTTAACCCGGTGCATTGGAGTCAGGCCCTCACTGAAGTGGAGGGTCCTGGTGCAAAGCCCTACAAAATGGTGGAAGAGGCCGCCGAGCTTCTTGGCAACTGGCAAATCTGCATTTCTCCGATGGCCCTCAAAGACTCAAGGCCCCGGTTTGTTGGAGCTTGCGCAGCGCAACCTTTTTGAGAAAGTCAGCCACCCCGTTCACCAAAAAAAGCTGCAAGGACTGCGACATGAGAAAAGCAGCAAAACCAAGTCTGGATCCATCCAAGGATGAGTGTTGGTTGGTGGCCAGGCCAAACATGCCAGACGACTACTGAGTTCATGAAATGGTTGCGATGATGAAGCAAAATGCTGCGCCTTCACGGGAAAATAAGTGGCTCAAAAAGGCAGGGTGAAGCGATGACCACGCCTCATGTGCATGTACTAACCAAATCGTCATGTTGACGTATGCCTAAAACCACCTACCCGCTGCGCAAAAGAATGGACGTGGTCCCAAGCAAGAGCTGTCCCGGTCGTGACGGTTGAGCCCTGAAATGCCCCGACAGCGCTTTTCGAAGTTCAAAGTCTCAGCTTGCAAGTGCTCGTGCCAGGCACGAGCCCCAATTGTCAACAAATGTTTCCCCGTTCAGTCCCTATGGATCGTGGCAGGTCTTGCTTGTCCTGGCCTTCCTTGGCTGGGACTCAACATGTGCCAACTGATGGGGAAACCAAACACCGAATAGGCTTGGCAACGCTTGCTGAAGCAACCTTCTCAAAAGGGGAGCTAAAAGGATGTTGTTAAAACTCATGTTAAAACAACAGGCAAGTTAGGCATGTTCAGCAAGCATCCCTATGCTTCCCCGCAACACACTGCCCTTCAAAAGAAAAGAACACTTGCTTATTAACGCCAATTCCTGACTGGATGCGCCAAAACCGTCCAAACTTGTTGTTTAACTGGTCTTCCCAAAAAGCTTAAAGTCCGAAACTCAGGAGGTGAGTGACATGCTCAAAAACCACCTCTGAAGAGAAATAACGGAAGCCCAGATAAAGATTGAAACGCCTGGTAGCCAAGCATCGCATTGTCCAGCTTGGAGTTGCAAAGGTTCACCCGCGCCATTTTGGCGCCTGAAGTTGCCGAAAGGTCATGTTGACCCGATGAACAAATTCCGACCTACAGCAACCTTCCGGAAACCCGCTTTCTGGAATATCGCCGCATGGCGGAATGATGGAGTGCCTCCAATATCATAATGTCATTCAACCACCGGCAGCCTGGAAGAAAGCAAGCCGAACTCAAAGGGATTGCAAAACTGATCAACTCAGTCGCCCAAAGGACCCAGGAGTAAAAGGTTAACCTTTTGGGGCCTTTACTAAAGATAGACCAAAATTGGAAAACCAAAAGGTTGGATCGATTCGCTTTGGGCAACTGAGTTAATGATCTGGGGTGGCTTGACCTGGGCTCCGGGCCCAGCATCAGTCCAGTCAAAAGTGGAAGCTGTGGGCGAAGGATGTCAGCTTTCCAGTTGAAGTGGGTGTTTTTTTGTTGTTATTTTTTCCCCCGGGCTAATGAGAAACCACTTACCCCCCAATGTGGGCGTTGTGTTCTTCTTCCTTTTTTCCTTTTGTTTTTTTTTCGGGCTAATGAGAAACCACATACCCCCTAATGGAAACGTAGCATGAAGAACCGCTGGTTGTCTAATAGCGGGGGTGTCCCGTTTTAGAGGGCACCCTGGAAAAACAGACACCCTACTCCACGAGGTCTTTCTAGATCCGGGGTCAACTCGCGAAAAATCCAAGAAAAGGAACAGAACGACACATGAAAACAATCGACGACCCCCCTGCCAATGTGAGCGGAATTGCGACAGCTATCCCCAAACCACCAAAGGGTTCCAAGAAGACTGAGGCCCCACAAATAGGTGTCATATTTTCGGGGGCGCTCCTGTCCAAGCTCTTTCAAAGGGACGAATACAGCAAACAAGCAATTTTGGGATGTCCCTTCTTCGAACCTTCCAGTGGGAAGCTGGCCTGGACTGTCCAGACAAATTGAACATATCTCCATACTCGTCACTTCCCTTATTCTCAGTTGCCCCTATGGGCCCTGGAACTAAAAAGGCGATCACCTTTTGGGGTCATGACTAAATATGGGTGCCAAAATGGGGAAAACCCAAAGGTCAGATCCGGTCGATTCGCTTTGAACAACTGAGTTTTGTGAAATCAACCAAGGCAAAGGTCTCCGGGTGTCCAAGACTCCGAAAGCTTGCGGCCAACGGCTTTTGAGGACTTGTGTCCTCAAAACGGAGGAGTCACCGAGTTTCCTTTTGGCTTTTCCTTCCACGAAAGAAACACCAACAGTTTGGCTGCAACAAAACACCACACGCGCATATGAGCCAGCGTCTATATTTGCTGTGTGGGGTGTATTCATTCTACTTTTAGTGAGTCCCCTATCGTTCTCCACGTTTCGCGTGTTCGTGCTGTGCCCGATGAACCCTCTGCAGGGATCGCGCGCCTCGAAGCGCTCCCACTGTGGCGCCGTGCGAATTTGTAAAGCGCCCGATGAACCCTCTGCGAGGATTGCGCGTGCCACAGCGCCCTCGCTGTGACGCCGTGCGAATTTTAAAACTGCCCGATGAACCCTCTGCAGGGATCCTGCGCGCCCAAGCGCTCTCGCTGTGGCGCCGGGCAAATTCGTAAAGTGCCCAATGAACCCTCTGCGAGGATTGCGCGTGTCAAAGCGCCCGCGCTGCGACGCCGCGCGAATTTGGAAAGTGCCCGGTGAACCCTCTGCAGTGATCCTGCGCGCCCAAGCGCTCTCGCTGTGGCGCCGTGCAAATTCGTAAAGTGCACAATGAACCCTCTGCGAGGATTGCGCGCGTCAAAGCGCCCTCGCTGCGACTCCGTGCGAATTTGGAAAGTGCCCGGCGAACCCTCTTCGCGGTGACCACGCGTGCCCAACAAACTTTCTACGCAAACCCCTATAGCGCCGCGCGAACTCGAAAAGCACCCGACAAACTTTCTACGCAAACACAGCACTGGAACCACACGCGTAGTCTTTTGTAAGCAAATGCACTAGGCCTCACATTTGCAACTCGGGCCAATGCTCGGGGTATCGACGGGGTATCGACCGGGGTATCGTTCTGGGCGTGTGTCGCGTGACGAAAATTTTCACAATTTTCCATAAGCTGTTAGAGCCAAGCAAACACACAATAGCCTTCTCTGCCTTGCGGTAATCATATATCAGTCTTGGCGGCTTGCTTGCTGGCAGCAACCTCAAGGTCGCAAGTCGCAACTTTCACCACAAGCGCAGTGCACAAGTTACACTTCGGCAGCTCCAGCTCGAAGGTCGCAGCTTGCGGCGGTCACGTGTCAGTCTAAGCGGCTTTTGCTTGCTGGCAGCAACCTCCAGGTCGCAAGTCGCAGCTTTCAGTACAGGCACGGTACACAAGTTAGACTTCGGCAGCTCCAGCTCGAAGGTCCAGCACAAACCATGTTCAGGGGTATCGTTTTTTGTGAGTCCCCTATCGTTCTCCAAGGAAAATGCAAAAAACCAGTATTGAATGAAACGCCGTTGATAAAGTGGTCTTTGATAATTCTGAGGTTGACTCATATATCAATATGAGTCATCAACACGTTGTTTGATATTTAACAAACATACACACTGGAAGATGAATATATCAACTTAAACAATGGATGGAACAAAAAAGGATAGTTAAAACCATACATCATAAAACAATATATATAATATGCATACACATGCGCACCTGAGCACCTGCACACCCGCAAGCCCACCCGCCAGCACGCGCGCACACACCAATTCCAACTGGCAACGGTTCATTCATTGGTTTGATGGCTGTGGAAAATGGCCCCGTCGGTGATACAAAAAATGCGGCATCCATATGGTGAGCGCCAGCATCTCACTCAAATCTGGCGATGGGAAGTGGCATCTCAAATGGGAAGCGGCATCTCATCCCCAGTTCTCCCCAACCATCTGGGCAAGTTACCATGGGTGTCCTTTTAGGGCAAATAGATGGGTTTCCCTGGTAGATGATGAGAAACAAGAGGTAAACCAGAAATCGCCATCGATTTTAAACCCCCGAAACCACCAAAAAAGGACACCTCTGGGATACACCCTCTTTCCCCCAAAGCAAAACATGGCAGGGGCACCGCTGGAGTTGCTCGAATTGGAAATCAGGAACTGACTCGCGAAGTGGACATTACCTATGCAAGTTACTCGAATTCACACCCCTCTAGTAGAGAGGTTAGAATAAGGGTACCAACTATTTTCCGTAGTCTATTTTAGTAAGGTCCCCCAAAAAAAAAGGTAATTAAAAGGGCACTGCTGGGGAACGTAGTCGAATTCACACCTTGGACATCAGGAACCACCTCCGCCCCCAGCCCGAGCCCATTCGCTGCTCCGCCCATCCAGCGCCTGACAGCTGCGCCTGGCTGAGGTCCGCCCCATCCAGCGAGGCCGCCACCAGCCGGGCGTTCTGCAGCAGGGCGCCGGACAGGTTGCCGCCTGCGGGGGTCGCGAAGAGGGGTTTCCGTGTGGAAACGGTGTGTCGGTGAAATACAAAACCACTTCTTCCATTTACTTAAGCCCCAGAAAAAAAAAGTATACTTCTGGTAGTGATCGATTCCTTTTGAAACCAACAGGGAAAATAAACAATGTTCATAAACAAATGGAAGACTTGGTATTGAAGTGGTTCGCCCCACTCATATCCGCGAACCGGCCATACATCCAAGATTCATCATCGCCTGTGACCCATCGCGAAGTCTGCCATTGACCTAGCCTTGAGCTAAGCAAAACAGCAAGTCTCTACAAGTTGTACTGGTTCAAAAGCTTAAGCATCAACCGCATTCACGCCCTGTCTCGTGGGCATTCATGACAACCATTAAGCCATGCTTCATGGCAGCAATATCGAATTACGTGAGGCCTGTCGAGGTTGCGGTTCTCATGGCTCGGGCTTGCTTTCCAATCATCATGCCATGCCCACCCTCTCCAGGCACCGGTGAATGGAAGTGTCGACATCACTCAGTGGATCGAGCGAACAGTTTCCGTGGGCAACCTGAGACCCCGTCAAGACAGGGATACGATACCTATGGCCGAAATGTCTAGAAATAGGTCGAAAGCCGAAAACTTGAGAAAACAAAATGCATCCCAAGTCAAGTACCTATCAACTCCTGCCGGAACTCCCGGTAGCTCCGCCAGGCTCCCTGTGTAAAAGCACGCAACTTTGGATACCCCGTGCTCTGTAATGTTAACCCAGGATCTAAGTAGAACCCGTCCCATTCTTGGGGGGGTGTTCCCTCGAAAAGTGGTCTGAATCTCCAAAAGGACTTGGACGCCCCCCGATTAACCAACCGGGGGTTTATTAATCCGGGTGAAGCCACGAGCGGCTCCCTTACCACCAGCTAGCCACATTCGCTTCGGCCTGAAAGCTCCAAGGCCTCAGCCTCGAGGTCTCGGAAGCACGCCTGGCGGCGTAGCGGTGTGATCCGGGCGACCCACACGGAGACTTACATCCACCTGGTTTCGCTGGGTCTGCTGACCCCGGATTTATCCAAATAGAGGGTGGGGCCCTCCATGAGTGAATCCCCATACCAAAAACACCTAAGTTAAACTACTGGAAACAGGGTTCTGGTAGAAGGAATCCAAACACCAGCTGCTTTACAAGGGGATGCTCTAAACCAGCTGGCAAATAGTTGATTTGCACAGCTGGATGCTTACACATGATTTAGCGGCTTCTCTTCAAACAAAAAAGCAAAATGTCATAGGACAAGTGTGGCACATCCAGGCATAGACCTCCTTAGTCTCTGTTATCGAGTAACGAGCTACCTGCCAACTCGGCTTAAGCAACTGGGGGTTGAAATCAACAGTTGGTTAAGGCCTCCTGTGACATGTTTAGGCCACTTGTGACATGTTTAGGCCACTTGTCTCTTGCTGGGGATCTAGAGGTCCGGAACTTGGGGCAAACAAGCGCGCCCGCATGAAGCCACCGCGTCGCAATGGAAATTGAGCAGCCACGGTAAACAGTCCGTGCAACAGTTGGGGGACAATAATGAATGCTGGCAGCAAATGCTGGACAGCAGCGCAATTTTTTAACAAGCGGAAGAGGTATGGGCTCAATGCATTCAAACCCCCCTCTCTTTCCCCTCGCGCAACCACCAAGATTCCGTTGGTTTTGGGTAGCTTTTCGAACAAACACATTCCGATAATGGGAGAAACTGACCTGCGTCAGAAGACTGTCAGAAGCAAAACCCAGTCTTACAGGAGCCTGCCCAACAACAATATAACTAAAGAAGACAAACCGGCAAGGGCGACCATGTATTGTTAACGACTCCCTTGCAAATGGTTGGGACTCTCTCTAGCTACATGTCATCTTCCCAGGTTCTGAACTGCTCACCAAACAGCATTCGGCATTTATTGGAACCTTTCGCTCAGATGGGACTTCCTCACAACTTGGTTGCAGTTGACCTCCCTGCAAAAAGTTTAACTTTTTGCGGGTTTAGTGGAAACCCCCTTGATTTCAACCAAAAAGTTAAAGTCTAAAGATCCAACCCAATAGCAGTCAAGACAAGTCTCCCATTCGTCCCGCATCCCGAGGCCTGGCTGAGGTCTGCTTTGGGCATTCGCGCCTTGCGCAGCACCAGGCCTTTGCCTCAGCCACGAGGCTCCAACCGGGTTGAGGGGGTAGGGCGGGGGGGGGGATTTAAGGGGTGGGATTCGATCCAAAAAGGGTCTCGGCCTGGCAAAGGTAAGGCGGAGGCGCTGGAGCATGGATGTTGGTCTTTTCTAGGGGGCCACCTGATGTGTGTCTTCATGGCTTCTATGGGTATCGTTTTTTTGAAGTTCAGGGACACATAACGAAAAGGCGCGGGGTTGTTTTTCAGCCCAAATGTGTTTTTTTGGGCTGGTAGTGTCCTCCTGACCCCTTTCAAATCAAAAGAGAAGGGGCACCCTCCAAAAACGACACTCAAATGAAGGCAATCATCACAGGGACCAACAAAAAGTCCAAACTCGTTTTTAGCTGTCTAACCAATGAGTATACAGGTCCCTAATCACTATTCTGACTCTCCCTGCTATGGCTCTGAATGAGAAAATGAAGGACACCAAGCCTGTCTCTCTGGACAATGCTCTGTGAAACGAGGGTGCAAAATGAAATGCCCCTGGGACATGTACACAACTTCTTCAAAATCGGCAACTAGTTGAAACCCTGGAAGTGTGAAAGCCGGCGTTGCCCCTCTGGCACAAAGCCACACTTTGCTGGTTAGCGGCAAAGCTCGAATTCCCCCTCCCCAACGGCAGCCAAGCAAAGGCCAAAAACCCTTGGCGTGTTGGGAAAAACACTTCGCTCATTGCCCGCACGATATGCACAGAACCAAAACAAGCCACGGTCTTGCAAACCTCCAGGTAGCTCAGTTTTAGCCTTCTCGGCGACAAATGTGGATGCCCCCACTCCCTCCCAACCACCAGCTAGCTAGTCGCTTGTTCTGTAGAACTATGATTCGTCCAAGGTGCCCATAGTTTCGGCGGCAAACGAAACTCGACATGCCCAAGTATCAAAGGCGGAACTGCCAACATCCAGCACAACACGCCAACATTAATACGGTTAAGAAAATGGCTGGGGTCTCCTTTCGACCCCACTCGCCCATTTGCCCCAGCAACCACTAATTAGGCACACTAAATTCAACATGCCAAGAACTCAACGGCAAATCCAACTCCCCATACTGTGGATGGACGAAATCCTGCACCATCTAAGCATTGGCCTGGAACGAGACCACGACACAGAGAATCGCACGAAAGCGCTTGTGAATCTGACCTGTTGGCGAAAGAAGCAAACAGTCCTGCCTGTAGCCTGGAGTGATGATTCCCCTGTAACCCCATGGTGTCACAGTGCAGGATGTCGGGTGTCCACAGTATCAACGAATATCCGAGATCAAAACACATACAGTGGATGGACGAAATCCTGCACCACCTAACAAACCCTGGGAATGATGATTCCCCTGTAAATACCAAAGGAGCCATGGTTCCCCATTGTTTCTTGGGTGGTGCGAAATGGATTTTGTCCACCCACAGTAAGGCCTCAACTGCGAACGCTCAGAGGAAGAACCTCGCTGGATCCCAAGACTCCTCATGCCTTCCATTTGGTTAAGACCCCGGAGAATATAAAAATCCTGTAGTGATAATATATTCCCTTTAAAACCACCAGGTTTTTTGCTTTTTACTCTTAAGCAAATGGAAGCATTTCGGAGGTTCCTCCAAAAAAGGGCGAGACCCCAAAGCTTTCAGCTGTTGGGGAAAAATCTTAAGCAAATGGAGGCATGGCCCAAACCCACTAGATTCCAGTAGTGATAGATTCCCTTTAAAACCACCAGAAGGAAAAAACCATTAAACCACCACACAAAATATGAAAAACATCTTCAGCAAATGGAAGATGCCCAGTGCCAAAGGCGCAAAAGCCCACCGCGCCAAAGCGCCGCGCCAAAGCGCCGAGGTGCCCTTGGCCTTGCGCAGGTCGCTTTCCGGCAAGGACGCGCTGCCGAGGTTCGCGCCGTGCAGCACGGCGCCGCGCAGCGTCAGCCCGACCTCGGGGATCCAAAAGGACCAGACCCCGGTGGCCGTGGAAAATAGGGCGACCCTGCTCTTTAAAAGCGGTTGCTTTCTGCGAAGCCCTGCTAAAAGTGACTAACTTTTGGCGGTTTAATGGAAAACCCGTTGGTTGGCGAAAAGTTAAAGTCCGAACATCCAAGCAAAATGCACCAAGTTTAGATTGAATGAACGACCCTTCCAAAAAGAAGGACAACAAAGTAATTGTGGAGGTCCGGGCAAATCTTGACAAACGTGCGAATGTAAAGGAACTTTCCAGAGCCGACTTACCTTTTGGAGAATCCCAATTGAGTCGCACAAGGGTGGGTCAAGGCCTCCCCGGCGTGGCCTAAGGGCGTGTAGGTTGACGCACGCTTTGAACCCAACTGCAGGAGAAGCAAGAAAAGGGCTACGATTTTGGGGTCCGCCTGTCTTAGAGAGCACCCCATATAACACTCCTGCGGCCACGGCCATGGTTCTCTGCAAGGAACCAAAAGCTTGATGGCCACGCCGACTCAACAAGCGAGCCACTTTACTCCAGTGCTTATTCCCCAAGCCGCCCTTTGCTTATTTGACACTGTGGGCGGACAAAATCCTGCACCAATTGTTGAACCCATGGGAAACCGTTGTTTGTTGGACAGGCGAATCAGCAGAAGCCAAGGTTCCTTAGGTGCGAGAAGCGGATTTCGTAACCATGAGCTGGAGGAGCTGGACATATCAGGTACCTAGAGTCTCCACCCCTAGAAAATGGGGTCATGACCCCTAAATTTTGGCAATGACCACATTTTTTAATGGTCATGGAGAGTCTAGGTATGCCTTTTGGATGACACTTTGACTAAAAACTGACCAAGGGAAACCCAAATGTTCGGCCATGAGAAAAAAGCCTGCGGGTAACTTAGGTTTTAACCCACGCAGGAGTGCCTGGAATTACGGCCATTTCACCTTTGGTGCGAATTTGGAGTTGGTGTTTCCTTTCAGTGAGGTGCTGTTCAAAGCAGAATCCGGTTGTCTTTTTCTGAGGCTGTCCCATATTTGTGGGCGGTTTCCAAGGGAGACCAACCAGGAAACCGAAGCCATTCTTCCATTCGGTTAAGACCCCTGGAAAAGAAAAAAAACAACAACAACTTATTTCCAGTAGTGAAATCGATTCCCTTTCAAACCAGGGGAAAAATGTTTTGGAGGCATTTCGGAGGTTCCTCCCAAAAAACGACGAGCCTTACGGGCGCTTCAGGCGCCGAGCTTCACCCTGGCAGTTCTGAAGCTGAGCGTTGGTGAGGTCTGCCTCCTGCAGCGACGTCCGCTCCATGCGCCTCGGAGGGCGTACGGTTGGAGGGAAATCCTGCACAGGATCTACTGCCTTTTCCGCTCTTAGTATCCCTCTTTTCCGCTCTTAGTCTCTAATTTTCCGCTCTTAGTTAGAACACTTGCGCAGGATCAGGTCAAAGGATGTTCCCGGACTTCCATATAAGTAATTTGCACACAAGAAATTCCGCTGAATGGTTTTTCCCAGATGGCAATCATGGTAGGTAGGCCTTTTTGGCTGGTCGTTTGTAAGCTTAGACATCCGGAAAAGAATCTAGCAAACAGACTTTTGCGTCTGTCTTGTGCATTGTTTGATGCCCTATTCTTTTTACCCGCGGGTTTGTTGAGCATCTTGCTTTGGAATCTGCAAACTCGATGATTGCATTCTCCGAAACCTGCAATAAGGGCCCCCAGTAAAGGCCGGGTGAGCTCGCCATAAAAATGGCAGTTATTCATCATGTGCAAGACTCTCTCTTGATGTGCCCGATTGCTCCAAGGCCACTGTTCATTCTCCTTGCTGCGCGCAGCCGTGGTCAAAGCACCGCAGAAAATCCATGATTCACCAACCCAGGGTGCAAACGTCATATTGCCAGAAAATGTTCCAAGGAAAGATCCATTTCTTTCAAGGACGTATTCATATATTATGGCTGGAGGTCAAACCTAGGTACGCAAAAGGGATGCCTTGCTAAGTTTTCAAATGGACTGAGACCTGCGGTCCATATCCTGGTGGCTCAACTTCGACCCATACCCATATCTAGATACGCCAAACGTAAAACTGGACAAGACCTGGCCATAGAAACGTCGTACCCCGTCAGCGCCGAGCCGAGCTGCGTGTTTCGTAGATCCACGTCCACCATCTCCGCACGGTCAAGCCGGGCCTGCCGAGCCACGTCCAATCCAAGAGCAAGGTCACAGTTCCTGGGCCAGACCTTGGAAACCCCTCTGCAAAAAGTTTAACTTTTTGTGGGTTTAGTGGAAACCCCGTTGATTTCCCAAAAGTCAAAGTCTAAGGATCCAACCCAATAGCAGTCAAGAGACGTAGAACTTCTGCAAGGCTGATTGAAAGGAAAAATGGAGCCTCCGATTGCTCGTCGGCGAGCATTTTGCCGATGCTTGCTTCGATGCAGCCGGTGTCGATGTCCAATTCAACGCAAACTACCACACACATGAACAAACCCACACTGTCCATCTGTATGTTTATAGATAAACGCATACCTTTGCGTTCAGAACAACGAAGCCTTGTACATGCTTCCAGTTCTCATTCCCAACAAAAAACACTACAACGATTCATTCTCCAAAACCCTCCTTTTCCCGATGCGTAACCAGCAAAATGCGTTGTTCCAGCGCAAAACAGTGCATTCCCCGAACCCCTGCTGTTGATCCCCTACTGGATGTGAAAACGGCGCATTCCCCAAAACCCCAAGGAGTCGCATTCCCAGCCGCCGCCGCCAAACCGCGTTGCGAAACGCGCGCGCTTCGAGCCCCGCGCTTCCCGCGCCAAAACGCGCCTCGCCCAGCTCTGCGCTATGGAAGTTGCAGCTCCGCAGGTCTGCGCCGGAGAGGTCCGCCGAGCTGAGGCGCGGGCCGACAAAACCGCTGTCCGGACTCGGTGGGTGGCATGTCAACCTAATTACTCATAAGCCTCCCCTGAATAAATCTATGTTGTTTGGGGGGGAGGGGAGGCTGTTTTAGGGGAGGGGGGTAGTTTATTAATCAGAGGCAGGCATTATCAAACTTTGGGCCTCCGTCTGGTCCACGTTGGAATTGGAACCCACCAGGTATCTGGGGATGAGCCGGGATTTGGGAGACAGCGAGCCAATATTCACGGGAGAAGATCCACCGTTGGGCCGTTGGGTCAAATAGCTGGCAACAACCAACATCATTCTGCCAGGAATTGTGTACACTTGTCCCGCGCAAGTATCACACATGCACCGCGTCATGTTGGCATAGTATTTGCCAAAACGTGCGACTGAAATGGCCAGAGAAGGTGCCCTCTGAAACAGAACGATTGCCTGCTTACAAGAGTGCTAAACTGCCAATGTGTTTACGAATCCGCTGGGCTGAGGCATTTTTGTTGGGATGTCTGTCGCACATCAAAGAAGCAAAGAGCTAGAAGGGGCAACGGGGCCAGCAAGCCCTTTGCCCAGTTGGTGGCAACCCCAGCAAGTGAGACATATATCTACCAGTCATGACCATGCCAATTTGACAAAAATCTGGGAAGAATGCAAAAAAAAACATTGTCCTTTGACTCGTTGGGGCCCCCAACGCCCCTTCCTTGGGTTCAGCAACTTTCTGTCTGTTGTCAAGGTTAACCAAAAAAAAAAAAAAAAAAAAAAAAAAAAAAAAAAAACGCCCTGAATCCACCCGTTGGACGCCTGAGGTTCGCCCCCTGGAAGTCACCCTTCGCCAGCTGCGCGCCCGGCAGTTGGGCAAACTGCAGGTTGCAGAGGCGCCACACGGCGGCCTCCGCCCGCAGCTCCGGCAGCTGCGACCTCACGCCAGGAGGGGAGCAAAAAAGTAATTGTTAGCAGTTGAGTGGTGATTTTCCACTAAACCACAACAAGCAAAAAGGTAAAATGTTTCCCAACGACCATGCAGACACCCTTGTTTGGGTTGATACCGTGGGTGGACGAAATCCATTTCCTACCGTTTTGAATCATGGTTGGTGGTATTTACAGGGGAATCATCAGAAACCAGGGCTTCTTAGGTGGTGCAGGATTTCGCCCATCCACAGTATTTTTGGTAAGGCCCTGGTAAACAGGTTAACCCTTGGGGCCAGGTTCAAACCAAAAGGCATGAGGCTCGGTGCCGCTGTGGTCCTAAGATGTGTCCGGAAAACTCGGGGTGAAACGCAAGGCAAAACGCGGCAAAGGACTCGGAACCGAACGGCTGGCCCAAAGGTGAACTTCTTGCTGGTGAGAAAGGGCGCAGGTGAAGTCTGGCAATGTGATGTCTAACATCCAAAACCAAAGCTTTTTGGGGGCCTCGCGAAAAGGCAAGCATGATCCATCTCCTGTCAGGTCCTAGCCTGGCCCAAAGTTGAAGTCTGGACAAACTGCAAAGAAACTCTTAGAACAAACACCCGAGCTTCAGCTCATCAGTCGGTAAAACCTGGTCAGCGCAAATCCAAACGAGGTGCTGATGGACGAACAGGCCGTGACAGGTTGCGACATGGGCTTGATAGGTTGCGATTTCATCGACGTGTCCAGTAAGAGACTCAAACCTTGCAAAGACCAAGTGACCGGGGTGTTCGTGGTACGCTGCTCTAGCCTTTTGGGTGTCCTTGGTTTTGTCCGTGAAATCGCCTGGGGTATAACGAACTACTTTTGAGAGGTGCCCTGTTCCTTGCAAC